AGGCCACAGCCAGGGGCTCAAAGGATCCCACTGAAATTCCTGCACTCACCTCCAGATTTTGCATTGCAAATTATTTCATTTGAAAAGCTCCTTCCCTCAGGGTTACTCAGGAGAATAATTTGGCATTTTCCAACCCCATTCCCACCTTGTGAGAGATGACATGGATGACGGAACCATCCCGATCCAAAGGAGAGGAGAATATTGGGGGAATTTGTCATAATTTAAGCAAAAAAAGTGACTTTTTGGCAGTTCAGATTTCTGTCTTTTCCCATCTATTACCTCATCATTCCAAATTGGCAGAGCAGTGAGGGATCACAGGCAGGCTAGAGGATGGGGAGATGCCTGTAAAACACTGTCCTGCCACAGCCACTCCTTCCCAAATATTTATCCTACAATTCCCCTTTAAACACAACTCCTTCATGGATACTTTCTAAATCCAGAGCTCACAGGACATTTGTCCTTCTCTTTTTTGAGAATGGTGAGGACAATGACATTGATGTGGGAGGCTGCCTTGTTTTCTCCTTTTCATATTGCCTTGAGCTGTACAACACCTGCTTGGGCTGGCACATTGTCCCCCGGATCTCTGCAAAATAAATTAAAATTAAATAGAATTCTAATTTCCACCACCTCCCCTAAAATGAGGGGTTTTTTTATTCTGGATCTTTTAGCCAGGCTCCTGGGAACATCTTTATTCTATCCCATCCCTGTGCTGGCACAGAGGTGCCCATGGAGGGAGGACAAGGGGAATTTCTAACTCAACTTTGCAGCCCCCCAGAGCCCCTCTCCAGGACAAACACCAGGGGGGTGCTGAAGGTGGACTTTTATTTCCATGTGAAATCTTAAATACAACTCCTGAACATTGAAACTCCCTGGCTGACACCACCAACCCTTCAAAGCCACCTGAACATTAGAGACCCATGATTTAAATCAGAATTAAAGGGTGATTCCTACATGATTTCACCTCTTACTCCCATTTTTGTTTCATTAGCTGAAACTGTTTGGGTTTGCACTTCAGCTCTCGCAACAGCAGAATCTTTCCACTAATAGAGCACTGTGCCCTTGGGAAAGAAATGGAAAATATTGCTAAAAACATCCTTTAGTTATTGGGAGCCAGCAGCTGAGGAGCGACAGTTATCTCTGGATTCCTGGTAGACACAGCAGGGCAGATTGTGGGCACCAGTCACAAGGCAAAGAGGGAAAAAAATAATCAGGATAACCCCTGTCCAGCAGTGAGAATAAGTGCCTGAATTCCTGAGAAGTCCTTGACTTGCCACAGCCTTGAGCCAAGCTGGGACTGATGTTAAAACTGCAGAACACTTTGGGTATTTAGGGATTTTAAATCACACATGCATTTGTCTGCTACCAGAACTTCACCAGAAATGCTGTCTGGTTTTCCCATCCCTATGGATGATGGTCTGGAATCACATCCTTGCTGCATCCCAACCTGGGCTGTGCCCCATGCAGTGCTGGGAGAGCCAAAAGGGCAGCAAAGGAAGCAGGAAGGAGTCCAAGCTAACTCCATGTGCATTCCAGGAACTAATTCATGGAATTCTAGAAGGAGTAGCTTGTCCTATGAAGGAGGGTGAGGATTTGGGATCATGGTTTATGGTCGTGCTGGGTTAACAGCTGGACTCAATCCCAGGTGTCTTTTCCAACCTAAACAATTCCATGATTTGGAAGGATGAAGGCTGAGGGAGAGGAGGGAGGCTGTGTGTCAGAATTAGATCATAAATTCCTCCAAATCACTCTTGGGCCTGAATCTTCCACAGGGGTCACCTCCCCTTGCCAAGCTGGCCAGGTGCCCAGCAGCTCACACCTGAACCTGATCCTGCCTCAGCACAGCTCCAGGTTTAATAAATCCAGGATTTCTGGCCAGGGAACAGAGCTGAGCTCACACAACCCTGGTGTTTCCATTCAGGGCTTGGCTCACACCTGGCCAGCCTCAAACAGAGCAGCCCCAACATCTGCAGGAGCCCCCAGCCCCCAAAACCTCAGGTGCTTTTCAAACACTGCAACGGGGTTTTGATTACAAACAGGACTTCTTTTAACCAGAAAAAGCCGGGAATTTGTTCTGCAAACAAGTTTTATTGTCTTTAACTGGAGGTTTTATCATCAACATCTGAGACTGGGGGAGGGAAAAAAGAATCCCAGGAGGTTTCCAAAGCCATTCCTCCTCTCCTGTGAGTCACAGGTTTGACCCAGCCTGGTGGGACAGGAGCCATCTGACAACAATGGGAGTCTGGCACTTTGCATCCTGGAGTTCAAGGAGCACACGGGCCCTAAAAATAAACCCTGCTAAGCTGCTGAAGCTGTATTTTCCTACCAAATTTCCTGCTGAGCTGATCCAACCATCATTTGACCACATGGATAGACCTCCTTGGTTATAGGCAGGGAGATTTAATTAGGAAGGGAGGAAGCAGGGAATTCCTGTTTGGGGTTTTTTTTGGAGGGAGGAGTAGGAGGGAAGAACAAATGAGGCAAAAAGAATTATGAGCAATAGGCACATATTCCTGGCACTGGAGTTGCTGCAGAGTAAAGGATGCTGTGAAACATCTCCTTCCTCCTCAGGGGTCCGTCTCCTTCCTTCCCTTCATCCAGCACAGTTTAAATAAAGAAACATCTGCAGAAACTCCCCAACAGAAGAGCCCTAATTGGGGAAAGATAAATCTGAGTGTCTGGGATGTGTTTGGAGGTGTAGGATGCCAAGGGGCTTTGTGGGAATTGGGTGCCAAGTCACTTGAGCTGCAGATTAGAGTTGGCAGGGATCCCATGGAGCCTGGCCCCAAAAAATGTGCTGCAGCACAGACAGCCATGGGAATACTCACAGGAAAGGACACACTGAAGTACCAGGGCTCAAAAAGGACATCTTGCTACAAGGGGAGTGCTACAAGTGGATCTAAACTGCAGAGAGATGGAAAAAAATCCTGATTAGGCAGAGAAACCTATGGTGTGTGGAGTGGGCAAGAGCTGGAATTACCCTTGGGCTCAAGATCTCCTCTTGCACGTGGGAGCTCTGTGCAATCTTACATCTCTGTCTGTATTTAGGGAGAATCCAAGAGTTTCCACTCTGACAGGAGCTGTTTAGGAACTAAGAGCTGCTAAAACCCCAAACCCAGCCAAAGGTGCTCCCTGGATGCTCCCAGGCTTGGAGCAGCCTGGGCTGTGGAAGGTGTCCCTGCCCTGGAACAGGATGGGCTTTAAGGCCCCATCAATCCCCAGCCATCCTGGGATCCTGTCAGGGGAACACATCCTCTGCTCCCTGTGGATGTGCCCAACGCTTCCCACCAGGGGAACACAGCCTGTGCACTCCCCTGAGTGCTGTCTCACCCCCACAGGTGAGAACAGAACCTTTCTCTGGTACCAGAGCTCACCCCAGAGCTCTCCCCCTGCCCCAAACAGGAAATCCCAGTCAGCACCACACAGGCTCAGAGAGAACAGGGATTTTTCCAGCAGCAGGATTTTCACGCCTCTCCTGGGCTGCTCTTTCCCTTTGCTCTTCTGCTCAGTATTTCAGGGGGAAAATGGATAACATGGGAGATTTAAAGCTCAGTTTCAGAGCTCCAGCAGGAAAATCTCCTCTGTTGAGGCTGAACAGGCACTTGCAGCTGGAGCAGGGGGAGACCAATGCCTTCAACAGGATCTGTTTTTCCTGGCTTTGTCTCACTTGAGTGCTCCAGAAAGCAACCTAAGGGCTCTAGGCAAGGAGCAGAGATCAAATTTACTTCCTTTCCTTGCAGGGTTTGAAGTGAAAGATCCTATTCCACAGTGCTCTCTTAGGAAAACATATCAAGCATATTTTTACTCCTTTTCTCCCCCCGTCTCTCTTTTCCTTTTTGCAATAAGCTCTGGATAAAGCCCAGAGCCAGAGCCTGGTGTCTGTCTGGATCAGTGACACACACTGGACGAGCTGGGCCTGTCCCAGTTTGAAGGATGCATTCCCAGGAAGAATTCAGCTCACTTTTTGGGCTCTGGGAGAAGCCTGCAGGCACCTCCTGGAGCTGGTGAAAGCTGTGGCTCAGCTTTGTAACACCCTCTAAGCCAGAGCTGAGCGGGGTTTATCACCTCCAGGAGGATTGGGCAGCTCAAGGTCACATCTTGCTCTGCCTGGAGCAGCAGAGCCCAGCTGCAGTCTCACACCAGGGAAAAAAAAAAATAAAAAAATCCTCCCATCTCCATAATTACACTATTTTTTTCATAATTTTGTTCTTCCCAAACCTCCACCTGCCCAGATATTTTTGTAACGCTGGAGCTCAGCATCCCAACATTCCACATTGTCTAAAAACAAGTGGGTTCAGAAGCTGCCACTTAATTCCTCAGGGAAAAAAGAAAAAAAAAAAAAGTAAGAAAGCTCCATCCCCACATGAAAATCAACATTTTAACTAAGGAAACTCAGGATAAATTGAAACACAAAGAGATGCAAATAATTTGGGGGTTGAACTGTGTGTTAGCCAGCAAGCCCCAGTGGTGTTTTTGGAGGCCTTACTAAGAAAAAGGCTGTTCATTCTCAGCTCCATAGCGACCAAAAAATCACTTCTGTGAGCTCTGCTTGTCCTGCAGCCAGCCTGGTGTCTCCAGCAGGAAATTGGGGAGGAATTTTGATTACAAGTGATCACTGCTGAAGATGTGTATTCAGATAAAAAAAGACTTTTCATCCAGTTCCCTTTGTTTCTTGATTCATAGTCAAACTCTAATCCTATGGCAAGTTGGAATTCCCATAGCAACTCTTTTTAAACAGGAAAAGCTGGCAAAGGGGAAAGGGCATTATTTAAATACCTGATTACTGACTTCTGCAGCAAAGCTGCTGCCAAACACCCAAGAACAACCTCTTTTTAAGCCTGGGCTAAAAGTAAAAACCCTTCTACGGTGAAAATCCAATGTGAAAATCCTTCCTTATAGAAGCTGCAAATTCTTGCTCTGCTCCCACTGCCTGTAGCTCCACACATCACTTAACACTTGAGCTTCCTAATGCAAGAGGAGAAATGGAAATGGAAATGGAAATCTTTCTGGTGAAGATGCTGTGCAAGAGAGCAAACAAGGATTTATTTTCAAAGGAATCTTTCAGAAATACTTTTAGGCAGAGAAACATCTTTGCTGCTGTACTCCTTGATGTTAAATCAGTTATTGTTTGTAGTCACACTGATGAACATAGGAAAGGCCTGGGCAGATTGCTGACAAAAAACTGATTTCCCTTTAAATAATCTAGATTTTCTCTGTTAATTGGAGGGCTGGAATTTGTACTGATTGTTTAGAAATACACAGAAAAGAAGAAAACCAACCCACACAGCTGCCCAAACTCATTTGGTTTGAACACAGGCCAGCAGTGGCCTCAGAGCTGTGCCACAGGATGTGACCCCGGAGGCTGTGCAGCCTCTCCTGAAGCCACCCCCAAATCCAGAGGGATGGAGCAGCCTCGGGGGGCTCTGCTGAGTGGCCCTGATCTGTCAGGGGATCAGGAGAACTGCAGGCTCACCCCCAGCCCTTCCCCACATCGCAGGTTTCTCCCAGACCATGGAAATAACACAGATAATTTTTCCTTAAAATGACAACAACTCCCAGACTCGGAGCTGTACAACCAAACCAGAGGCCCAGAACCTGCAAATTGCTGCATGTTGGACACCTGGAGTGCCAAACCACCCCTGCACCTGCACAGGGCTTCTCATGGACACAGTGGTGACAGGGCTGTTCTTCTCCTCCAAAAACCCAGTTCAACAGCCCAGCGGTGGGAAGGAGGCTGTGAACATCCAGCTGTGCCCTGGGACACTTTGGGTGGCCACTGATTGAACCACAACCTTCGGCCTGCCTGGTCTTGGGATGCCAAACCAGCACTGCCACGTTGGATTTGGTGTTGGAGCTCAAGACAAAAGTTCTGAAATGATTTCAAAATAGCGAAAATTTGATTTCTAGGCACTCTCAGTGTTTCTTTTTGGGCTTTGATGCTCTGGTGCACATTTTAAGTGACAACTGAGGTTAAAATACCTGTTGTAGAGCTCAGGGATAACTCAGCACTCTCCTGTGTCCCTCCACCATTTCTCTGGTGTCCCTGGGATGGCTCAGGAGACACCACAACAAAGAGAAATGCAGATTATCCCATCTCAGGTAAGACTCCAGCATTCACCTGCCCCTGGAAATCCACCTGGATATTGCCTGGCACCTGCTGCTCCCCAAACATCTCCTCAACCTACCCTGAGCATGGTTTTACCTGTTAAACGTGATACCCTGTGGGAAAATCAGAGCCAAGATGGGCTGAAAGCTTTGCCTAATTAAAAAATAGAGGAGACAGTTCAAAGTCCTTCTGTGATCCCATGGGAATGGAGGATGCAAGGAATAATGGAGAGAGATGAAAGGAGGATGTGCAGACAACTGGGGGAAAGACATGAAGAGTAAAAATAAAGAGATTAATCAAAAGGAAGCCTCTGACAACTAGAGGGAAGGACAGAGCTGGCTAGAGAGCAAATATAACAGGGCAGAAGAGGAAGGTGATGTAGGACAGATAGGAAAGGAAAACCCTAAACAAAGCATAAAATGTAAAATAAGTTAAACCAGCATGAGTCACTTTGCCGTAGTCAGCCCATCTCTCACAGGCAGCACGCAAAGGGCAGAGGCTGCGAGGTCCAGAGCCACTGATGGTATCACCTCCCACACAGACATTTCTCACCCAAAAAGCACCCACACCCCACAGCCCATCCTGCTCCCTGCTGCAGAAATGACTGTGCAGGAATGAAAACCACACCAGTGCCTGTGCCAAGAGCTCAGCAAAGGGCAGCAGCTTTTGGGGGGCTAAGGGGGCGTGCAGGAACCTCCCAGCACTGCTTGTCACAGACACAATCCCTAAATAATTGCCAGGCACGAGGCAGCGAGAGCCTGGCACAGCTCTGCTGAGCAGAACACTTCTGAGCTGCTGCTACTACAAGTTTACAACACCTCTCCTCATTGGGCTCGAGTTTAAAACTCCTGATTTGCTCTGAGCTGCTCTGGAATCGCTCAGGGCCCAGGCAGCATCCCCAGATCCCATTTTCTGCTTTTCCTGGAGACTTTCTGGTTGCTGTGCAGCCCCAGAGCTGTCCCACCTCCAAACTCCTGAGGATCCATCAGCATCCAGATCTCCTGGATCCATCAGGAGAGCTCTGACAGCCAAGGATGGGTGAGTGACTGACTGACACCCCACTCCCACCCAAACCTCATCTCCCTGCAGCTCCCTGAGACCAGGGATGTGTTCCCAGGGAGAAGGGGCTACTCCCTCACCCCAGCTCCTGCCAGTCCCCTCTCCAAGGATTTTCTCCTATTTTCTGCTCAGCAAAGCTTCAGGAGGTGACAAGTCACAATCCCACTGCCTGGAGATTCTGATTTCCCCCTCCCTCCTGCAGTGTGCAGGTGAGGGGTGCACCAGTCCTAGACTTGGAAAAGCAGGGATTTTTCAGGGATGTGTTCTGTGCTTTGCTGCAAATCAAACTCCTCTTCTCTGAAGCGCAGCATATTTAATTCACTGATTACAGACCGAAACAAGAAATTAACATTAAACCTTAGAAACCAGGACTCTTTGAGACCCCTTTCAGCAATGCCAGAAAGGAGGTTTTGGCAAGTTTCAATCGATATTTTTCCCACCAGGGGCCTGGAAGGTGGCCAGGGCTCTGTGGGAGCACTGGGGCTTTGTTTGCCTCAATTCCCAGCAGGCACAAGTGCCTTGTCCCCTGTCCTGCTCCTGCTGCAGGAATTCTGTGTCAATAAACTCCACAGGCTGGGAGGGACTGGGAGCTCTGCCCTCACTGTCATTAGGACTTGGATTCATTAATTAACCTTTTCAGGGTGGGAAGTGCTGTGCTGAGACCTGGATTTCAACATCCTGGGGTTTTCAGGACTCTCCCCAAGGCAGGCACAAATCCCTGCTCCCTTTCCCAAAGGACAGCTTTCAAAACCCTGCTGACCTTTCCTTTTCTAAGGCATATTCTTGTAAAAATCTGACCCCTGAAGGTGCCAAAGGATGCTCCTCACTTTTATCCACGTCAAGATTTGGGTTCTGAGCACAAGGAGAGCTGACTCCAGTGATAAATAATTCTATCCACCCCATTAGTCCTTCTCTGGGGCTTAGAAAAGCAGGAATATGCTCGTTACAGAGTTTATTTTCCCACTCTTCTCCTGGAAAACATTATTTATTCACAGTTAGGTGAATATGTGCACTCAGGGACAAAAATCTCATTTTTAAGCCTTGAATGTCACAGGCTTTTTGCCTCTCATTTCAGTCTCCTTGAAAGGGCAAATCCAAGGTGCTCCCAAATTCCTTAATTTGGTTGCTTGGCTTTCTGGACCAAAAACATCATCCCACTCAAGGGAACAGAGTTTTAATTGCTGCATAATTAAAGAAAAGGGCCACTTCTTGTGGTTTTTTTCCTGTGTGAAGTACAGTGCACCACAGAAGTGTTATATATATTAAAAAGATGACAGAAATTAAAAAGAAATGTTAAATCAGAAGGAAAGGTTTGCAGAAATTGTGAGGCATTTAGTGAAGAAAACAAATGTAGTTGTAAGAAACCACATTTTAGCAAAAAAAAATAAAAATCTGTTATAACAAAATAGCGCCTTCGTTAGGGACTGTCCATTAAAGTCCTAAATTATACTTTCAAATGAAGTAATGGAACAAGAGAAGCAACATGAAACAAGCCCTCGGTAGCTGCAGGCTATGAAATCCCTATGAAAATGTGCTGAGTGACACCCAGGGTCCTGCTCCGGGTTTAGAGAGCACCAGAGGGCAGCCGTGGAACACAAAAAAAATCTCCCTGGAGCTCACAGGAACCAGGAAAACACAGCAGAAAGGGCTGACTTCTGTAAATTCATTCCCTGATAGAAAAAAAAAAAAAAAAAAAAAAAAAAAAAAAAAAACTGGGGGTATTTTGCAGGAAAAACATCCACATGAGCCCTGTAAGTAGAGGGAAGATAAGGGAAAAAAAAATAATGAGGGCTCTTCAAAACCAGCTCATGCAAAAGCTGCTTATCCAAGGCAGCCTGGGATGCTGCAAATCCTCTGCCATTTATTCACATTTCTCCCTCTCCAGCTGCTTTGAGGGTCCTGTTCCCCTGGGACATCTTCTTTGTTTCATACTGACAGATTCCTTTGATGAAAGGTTTGTTATTCCCGTGCCAGGAACGGTTTTTGCCACGGCAGTGCCCAGAGCTGCAGGCAGTGTCAGTCAGAGCCAGATCTGAGTTATGTGACAGGGGAAGCCCCATCCTGCCCAAATCCCACTGGGATTCCAGCAGGCACAGCCCCAGGAGGAAGCTCAGCAGTGTCAGGGACAAGGGCACAAATTCATTAAAGGGGGAAAATGAGGGATGGATTGCATTTTTTCTAAGGGAATTTTTTTAGGCACAAGGGAATAAATCCTTCATTTATCTCCTCCCAGCTACTGCAAAGGATTAGAATTAGAGATTCTTGGAATTGTTTGGGATGAAGGGACCTCAAAGCTCCTCCAGTGCTTTGTCACTGCCACTGTCATGGGCAGGGACACCTTTCACCAGGTTGTTCCAAGCCCTGTCCAACCCAGCCTTGGACACTTCCAGGGATCCAGGGGCAGCCACAGCTGGGCAGAGCACAAAAAAACACCCAGAGTTACCCTAAATCCAATTATTACACCACTCATCACACAAACTCCTCTTCTCCTGCTGTCCCCACCCTGGTTCTGACCTGAGGATGAGGCTCAGGTGTGGAACAAGCCCCTGCTGGGCCCATTTTCCACCCCCCTCTCCCATGAGGAATTGCTCACTGATATCAAATTGCTTCAAAACTGCAACTCAGGGTCACCCCTTGGCACTGAGACAGCAGAGACACAATCCCAGAGACAGAAATTCTGGAAATTAGTGTGAGACCCTAAAAATACAGGTGCTGGTTTTAGTGATTCTCCTCGTGAATCCCTTTATCCAGACCGTCCTTGCCCTCAAAGGGAACCCAACTTCTCTTGGTCATTGTAACAGGTTTTTCAAACAATTAAAAAAAGATTATGGGCATGAAAAGGCTGAACTTTTGCTATCTTCATAATTCCACAATAAATCTGCATCCCTGGCAGACACAGCCTGAAAATCATGTCATTTCCCATGGACACTCTGACCTTCAAAGCAGACACAGCTTTGAAGAAGTGGTTAAAATTACAAAAAACCCCAAACCAACACACCAAAAACACCTGTTAAACTGTCAGCCCAAGCAAAGCTATTTCTCCCTTGAGGTTTACAGAACAAGACTCTGTCTCCTCACCACTTTCACACCCTTTGGAAAGTTATTTAACTCTAAATTGAAAGCATTGATAATGACATTGGATGTCCCAGATAAATTCTGGGAAATGAAATGTGTCACGGGCTCTCCTGGGTTGGAAAGGATCCCGTTATCAGCAACCCTCTAAATCTATTTTTAATTAAAGATAAACCAGCAGCTGCAGAGAAGAAGGAGAAAGGGAAAATGAAGCACTTGCTGAAGGAAATATTTCCTTAAACCCCCTCAGGTTTGTATTTGCTGCGAAAATAAATTCCGGTTGGATGGAAATATGTCAGACCAAAAGTGGTGAAAGTGCTTTGTATCAAAATTTCATCAGGTTCCTTGTTTTAATAAAACATCTTTTTCTCCTCTCAAGTCCTCTTAATAACAACTTCTCTTTCCCTACACCTTTTCATCTTGTTTTCATTTCAGCTAGAAATCATTAAAAGTTAATTTGAAACTATTTCAAGTAGAGTTTTTTTGTGATTATTTTGTTGGTTTTGACATTTTTAGTAATTAACATTTTATTTTATTTCTTCTCCACCTCCATTTCATTCCCAACTCCACATCCTTAGACTCTTGCATTAAAAACTCAAGACAGGATCCAGCTTTTAACAGCACATTTGCAATATTTTATGTGGATAAATTCCTTCATTTCATTGCTTTTCAGTAGCTGATACCTTCCAGCCTGAGGCAAATAAGGGCTTACAGAAATTTTACTATCTCAAGTGGAACTGAAGCTGATTGTTACAAATAGTCCCATAATGAGGTTAAAAGGGCCATAAATCTTCACAAAGTCAAGTTCCTTCCTGCTCTGAAGGCACATTTGCAGCAAAGGAAAGTCTATTTAGGCAGAGCTTGGAGCTGAAAAATAAACTTAAAAGAGTAAATCAGCCCAAGAAGCTAAAAATCATTGTCAGAAAAATTATTTACCCTGGAAATACAATTGTCTGAATTTGGGATGAACTCCGGGGAAGCAAGAAATGGGTGGCAGGGAAGAAGGGAGAGCCACATCACCCCATTATGGGGGATTTCGTGCTTGAAAGGAAAAAATTAAAACAAAACCAGAATAGGCCCTGGATTGAAGGAGAAGGGGCCTGGCTTTCACTTTTATGTAAAATGTGCCAGGTGAGAGCCTAAAAGGGTTTTGGCAGCTTAAGGAGCTGAAATCTTAAGATATTTTTCTTTTCCCTGGGAACATATAGGAAGCACCAACACCTTGTCAAGCCCTGCACCCACTCCAAATCCTAAAATTTCCCCCTCTAACACCAGCCTTGGAATCCGTTTTGCTCCAAGCACTTTCTTTGGGAGGCAGCAGCTCTCCAGGCACCCTCAGGGGTTTGGGTGCAGCCTTGGGCTGAGCAGGAACCTGGGATCCAGGGATAACCCCAGCACAGGGAACACCCTCACCCCTCCCCAAAACCCTCCTGGAGGAGCAGCTCAGCCCCTCAACAATCCCAGGCAGGACAAGCACAGCCCAGGCTCCAGCCAGGAATTCCAGAATAAAAGGAGACAGGGCCAGGATTGGAGACAAGCCCACAGCAAGACCCCAAAACTTCCCTCAGGAGCCAGGATCAAAACCCAGCCTGGAAATAAATTAAAATGTGCATCCAAGGGTTGATCCCAGAGGGAAATTACCTGCTGAAAGGTCTGTGCTGGAGGCAGGCTCAGAGCTGAGTGTGCCCAAGGCAAGGAAGGGAATGAGGGCTGAGCTGAACTGGAACCGTGAGCAGCCGTGGGGAGCCCCGGGTGAGGCTGCTCAGGGCCATAAGGGGTGTTGAGGTTGCAAAGGTTTCTGTGGAACCGCTGCTGACTGTCCCTGCTGGGAGATTGGGGTCTGGGGATGATCTGCAGCTTCCAGACTTTTCCACAAGAAGACACTGAGTCTCTCCCACACAAATTTCCTTCCTTCCAGCAGCCCCCTAAAAATCCTCCTTGCTTTTCCTACAAACCCATGTCCCATCTGCACAGTTGAGGCCTCTTTCCTTTCCTCACCACCACCCTGAGTGCTGATTCCAGACTGGGAATGTGTCCTGTGGGTCCAGGACTGGTCCTGGTCCAGGATCTGTCCTCCAGCAGGTCCCAGCTGGGCTCCTCCAAGCCCAGGGCAGGATGTGCCTGGGGATGGGGCCAGGGACTGAAATTTGGGAGAGCTCTCAGGATCCATCCCTGCTTCCCTCTCTGGATGGAACAGAGAACAGATTGAGAACCTGCTCCTGCTCCAGGGGCAGGGATTTGGGGTTGCTGTGGTCTTTAGGAAGGATAAAAGACCCTAAAATCCATGAGGATGTTCTGGGGGCTGTGGTCTGGCCCGTGGCCTCAGGGAAGGTTCTCATCAGGACAGGCAGCTCCAAAGCAGAGCCAAACCAACAGTGACAGGGGACAAAGGGACCAAGCCCTACATGAGAAATTCAAAGAAGAATTAAGAAATCTCTTAGCTCTTGCTGTTTCTTGGTCCTATCTGTGAAACAGAGCTCACCCTTTCCGTGCAGACTGAGCTCATGAAAGGCCACGAGGTGCTCAGATAATTAATCAGAACCTTTATCTAATGCACAAACACTTCTGTCACAGCTCAGTGACCTGGGGAGCTAATGACAGTTTGGCCACAGCTGCACAAAACCAGAAAAGGCTCTGAGCTGCAGAAATGTCCCCACACCTCCTGCTCTGTGTGCTCCTGCAGCCTCTGCTCAGTGCTGAACGCTCTCAGGTTCAAAAGGTTCTGCAGCAGCTGCAGCACAGGGATTTGTAGCCCATAGAATCCCATGGGATGTGGGATTTGTATCCCGTGGGATTACCCAACACACCAGGGCTGGTTTGGGTTCTGGCCAAGGCAGTCACACTCCAGTCAAGCACATCAGGATGAGCAGTGGGGAGAAATGGCCAAATTTAAGTAAAGGGACAGAATTCCCAAAGTGGGTATTTCCTGGAGGAATGGGAAACCCCAGGGAATTCAGGCAGGCCCCTGTGCCAGTCTCAGCAGCCTTTTGCCCAAGTTTACTCTTCTGTTTAGAAAAAAGCACCTTCCCCTCCAAGCTGTTTGGTGACCTCTATGAGAAACCCTTTGCTGTCTTCCCTGGTGACATTTCCCTCAGCAAGGACACTCCCAGACACTCAGGCTGAAGCTGGACAAAGGGCTTGGGATTCTTGTGGCTTGGGTGAGAGAAAAGCCAACTTGCCAGCAAACAATGGGCATTTCTTGCCTGCAGCTTCCACCTGACTTCACTTGCACCTGACCCTGTGCCTGTCTCTGCTCAGGGGCCGTGGTGACACCATGTCCCTGCTGCCACCTGCCAGCCCAGGACTGCTCAGGACAGGATTATCCCTTTCCTACACCTCTCCCAGGGCAGCATCTTCCAGCACTTCTTGCTTTCTGGGCTGGCTGAGCATCCCCAGCCGCTGCAGCTGCTCAGCCTCTGGAATGTCCCTCCTGCCCAGGAGCTGCTGTCCCCGGGGAAGGAGCAGTTCCCCTTCCTCCGGAGCATCTGAGGCTGCTGACAAAAAGCAGGATATCGTTTTCCTGAAGCCCGCTGTCTCTGCCTCTGCAGAAATCTAATTAATGCATGCTAATGAGGCTAATTCAAAATCCCTGATCCAGCGACTGCCCAGTGCTTCTTCCAGGCTTCAGTTCTCCTTCCAGCTAGAAAGAAAGCAAGAAAAAGGAATTAGCAGAGCTGATCTTTGCATCTTGACACTGTTACACAATTTCACTGATGTCTTAACCACAAACCAGCGGTTTCCTTTTTTTTTTCCTCCTCCACCTGTACAAGAATTCTCTCAATAAAATGATTGCACAATGAATTTATGAGCTGCAGCTCTTCCAGACGAGGTGTTTGATCAAGTGGTGGCTACAAAAGTTTTTTATCCAGACATAAAATGATGAGATGTCCTGGGAAAAGCAGCGATGGGGCTGATATCAAGGTGGAAGAGGAACCTGAGAATTACTGACGATTCTGGGAAACAACTGGGTTCTGTTTATGAAGAGAAAACAGGAAAAAAACTTAACCCCAAAGTTTTATGTAAACTCAGCAAGCAAACAAGCAAACCAGACCCGAAAAAAAAAAAAAAAAAACACCCCCAAAAAACCACCAAACCCCAATAACTCAGCCTGAAATGAGAAAGGGAAAAGTTCAGTTCTAATTCACAGATGATTATGATTTTCCAGTCAGAGCCCAGTGCTAACTGGGATTATGTATGGCCTGATTTATGAGGGAATCATAGGACTGTTGTGGATTTTTCCACTGATTTCAGGAAGGAAGGGCATTTGCTTTTAGTCTAAAATTAGTTGATTTAAAAAGCAAATTCTGAATGGCTTTTCTCTCTCACTTCTCATTGGGATGTTCTATGTGTGGAGCCACCCCTGTGCTCTATTTTCACAACAGATCTGAAAAGTGGAGGAGTTATCCCACCCCAAATGCCTCTTCTGAATCTCCTAAATGGAGTCTCAAAGGTTTTCATTTAAAAGCAGCAAGATTTGAGAGTTCCAATCCAATGAAAATGCATTGGAAGTTGATGGGATATTTGGGTTTTTCCAGGGAGGGAGGACTCTGGGATCTGGTGCCTTGAGGAGGTATCTCAGCTGAACTGCAAATTGTTTGGGAATATGTCTGCAGGAAATGCCCCTAAAAAAAAAAAAAGGGATTTTGCCAGTCAAGGTTTGGATTTCACCCCAGTATATTGTGGTACTGGTTCAAGGGGAGTGGAACTGGAAGTTGTGCTTTCCTTCTCTGAGTACAGCTGGAATTTTGGGAAAAATCAATTCAGACTGACTCAAAGGCAGCAAATATTCCTTCTTCCAACTCCTGAATCTGGGAATACAAGGTTAGAAACATCCATTTTGAGTAGATCCCTTATAGCAACTGATTAGCAAAGTATTTCCCTGTTTGGAAATACTATCCAAGGAACTGATAGTTTGATGCAATCCACATTATGGATAAAAAATGAAATTAAAAAGCAAAACATTAAGGAAAAACATTGGAGAAATAGAGTACAGCTTAACTGTTGTTTGACCCCAGAATCTGAAGGATTCTTTCTGCAAATACAACTTAGACATGGTTGTGCTCCATTTCCTCCCCAGGTGTCAGAGAAAACCGAGGAGTGAAAGATAGATTTGAAAGAGAAAATAGAAACAAGGAGTGAACCTAAACACAGAGCTACTGGAGAAACCGTCAAAACAAGAAGCAAAATCCAACAGGGCCAATGAATTCTGGCTGCCAAGGAAATCTTGACTTCTCTATCCAAAGGAACTCTTGTAAGAGTAAAGACTTACTCATCCTTTCCAAGACTCAGCTGGATTTACATCCTCGTGGGATGTGAGTAAAGGACAGCGTTCTCCAAATTGGAAGAAGGCTCCAGGAGCTGCTGGCTCCTGCTCTGCTCCTCCCACCAGCTCCAGGAGACAAATCCACCTTGTGGGATGGCACAGCTCCTTCCCAGCTCTCCTTTGCTGTTGCTGAGAACTTGCTGAACTGAAGGTCTTTAGTTGTAGCTCTGGAGGGCAAAAAGTTGGAGTTTGTGACTGGTGGGGTTCAGCTTCAGCAGAATCCAGGCACTTGGAGCAGGACTAGGAGCTGACAAAAGATCTTTATAAGCCAAAAACCCCATAGCAGATGGTGCTGAGCTAATGTTTCTCAGGAAAAGCTAAAATCAAGCTGTTCCATCAGCATCTGCACACATCACTGCACCTCTGCTGTTGGGCAGGGAAATTAAACCAGCTCCCAGGACTTTGTCCTGCTCGTTTAGAATTCTGGGAAGCAGTGATAGAGCAAAACCATCTCGTGGCTTTTCATTATTCCAGTCAGCCAGTGAAATCTGGGCTGTGGCTGTTGTGATTTGTACGTGCTGCCAGTGTTTCTAATCTTATTGAAATGATAAAATGTCTCATCAGGCTGTTTTCTCCTAGGAATCATTTTCCTTGGAGTCCTTCCCCAGCCAGGAGCACCCAGAGCAGACCTGAGGCACAACTGCTGCTGTTGATTTCTTGCTGTCAGTTGTTGATGATGTAGAATTAATTTTTCTTTCTGACCAGATTTATATCTTAGGCCCAGGCCTAAGCCTGTGTTCATGCTTGTAACACACCCCACACATGTCCTGCATGGCACCTGACTGCTTCCAAATCCAGGCTGGACAGGGATTTGAGCAACCTAGTCTAGGTGGACACCTGGAAAGTGTCCTTGCTCATGGCAGGGGGGTGGAATGAGATGAGATTTAAGGTCTCCTCCAACCCAAACAGTCCTGTGACAAGAATGAGTCCAACCTGGCCTTGGACACCTCCAGGGATGGGGCAGCCACAGCTTCTCTGGGCACCTTGGGCCTGGACCTCCCCACCCTCACAGGGAAGGATTTCCTCCCAATATCTCATCTTAAAGTCTCCTGATCTTTAAATGCAATCAAATTCTCTTTGCTGGAGTCTTTGGTGCTGTTTCCAAACGAAGTGAAAGGGGAAGCAGAGCCTCATGAAGAAAATGTGATGAAGAACATGACCAGGGTTGATCATATTTGTCGGGAGGGGTTTTTCCGGTCTCGGGAATTCCCCATGGAGTTCATTTGGGTTTGTCTTCCAGTTCTCATGAAAATTCTCACCCTTCTCCTTGCAGCCTTCATGGGGAGGCTGCACCAGTGTCACAGACAAGATGTGGGACATTGGCTTTTGGATCATGGACTCCCAGGATGGTTTGGGATGTGTCCAAGCTCACACCACGACTTGTCCTGCCTCTACTGAGGGTGAGTCACCTGTGGGTGAGAGGTGACAGAGTTCCAGGAGATACTTCCAGGCTGAGTTGGTTCCCTGAGGCTGATGTTCCAACACCAGTAGCTCTTTTTGCTGGAAGCTCTAAATTAACAAATTATAACCTTTACACTTAGCTGGATCTCACCAGATTGTGCTGGTGATTCTCCCCCAGGAAAATGTGAGCAAAGGCTTTAGCATAAATCTCCAGAATGAACACAAACAATGCACTCAATTCCCTGTGCACGTAAGGAAAAGGAATTTCATGTGCCAGCTTGTGGCAGCTCCTCCAGGGGAACTCACCACTACAAAGACCCCCTTGGGAACTGAACTTTTGTAAAGAAATTAAACTGGGCAAAGAAATTAAAACCACCACAGGCAAAACGAAGACTTCATTTTCCTCCCAAGGTCCCTCTCCCTCAAAATTTTCATTTATCCCCTCCAAAAAGGCTGCTGCAATCTGTCTGTCAAGGGATTCTGAGCTGCAAGGGATGAAGGAGAAGTTTTCAGCAAAGAGAACCAATGATTATTTTTAGCATCAGCTGCATGGAAAATACTTCTCAGAGGCTCTGCTTGTTTAGAGGGGAAGATACATTTTCTCCTTTTTAGTTTCTGCTAAAAACCCAGCATTTAGGAAGTAAATGGCTCTGACAAAGAGCGATGGTTATGATGGGCAAATCCTTTCGGCCAGCACTGGCAAACCCTGGATCTCCCACTGGAAAAGCTGCTCAGACTCTCCTCCAGCTCCAGGGCTTCAAGCTGCTCTGAATAAAATCCAGGGCGAGTTTCCAAGGGTTTGGCCACCAGCATTTCAAGATCTCCTTTCTCTTTCTGTTGTCAGGCAGGAATATTTGTGTTCCTGTAGAGAGCCTTGGGGTGTGTTTTCAGTTCCAAGCGCCCACGGGAGGGAACGGCTGTCGTGGGACACAGGGATGGGCTGAGACACAGCTACCAGGCAGCTCTGTTAGGAAAAGCTGCTGGTTTGAATTAAAAATCGATTTCTTTGGAACAGAATCAGCCTCTCTTTTGGACAGGAGGAACGTGTGTGTCTGTACTGAGGGCAGAGGAAATCGTTAACAACGTGGTGCAATTGAAGCTCTGTAACAGCAGAGAGAGAGGCACTAATGAGCAATGATATTTCAGTGGCCAGAAAATGTAGGTAATTAGAAGTTATTTCTCACAGAACACCCCGTTCTGACTTTTTCCATGTGCCTCCTTCTCCTTTTTGTTGCAAGAAAAACAATTTTATCAGCTTGAGGCCCAAAATCAGAAATAAAAGGGAAGAATTTTTAAATGCTTGTCATTCTCTGTTCCTCTTTCTCTTATCTGATATATTAGAGTAAACAACACTGTTATGTAATGTAACCTCCACATATACATTTCACTCTCCTTTAAATAATCCTTTAAATTCTCCATAGGAAGAATCACTGAATCAGGATACAATTATTTATTTTCTCCTTGTCAGAGTATAACTATTGACCAAACTTAGATAAATTTCTTGGTGTGATCTTTTGTTGAATGTCTGCTTTTCTACACCCCAAACACTTGACAGCAAAAAACTTTGACATGAGATTTAAATCTTGATGTTATTTATTGGCTGCTCCATCCAATATCATTATTATTTATTGGCTGCCCCATCCTTGGAAGTGTCCAAGGCCAGGTTGGATGGGGCTTGGAACAACCTGGGATAGTGGAAGGTGACCCTGCCTATAAGAAGGGGGAGGAGCTGAATGGATTTTGAGGTCACCTCCCATCCAATATCCTGGGTTTCTGTAATTTTAGAAAAAAAATTATAATTATACACTATTGTGAATATTTCTATATTAATAATTCTATACAACATACTATATTAATGTTTTCTATATACTAAATAATACATTTTCATAAATTACATACCTATCTCAGTAATAGCTTAGAAATGCAGCTGCTTTTCCTCTGGTTCCCACTGAAGGGCTGTAATTTGTTTTATGGGAGGGTTTTTTCCTTATTTGATTTCTCCCCTTATAGATGTGGAAAACCTCTGAAAAGCCAGTTACAGTTCTATGGACTAAACCACAAAAAAGCCACAAAGCAGCCACTTAATTGTGGATTTGGGGAAAAAACTTGGAAAGGAAACAGAAGCATGGAAACTTCTTTCTATTTGGGATCATTGCAGATCAAACCCAACTCCTTAACAGCAAACAATCAGGGTGGAGCTATTTTTTTGGGTTAAAACCATGTGATTGCTCAATTATCTGTCACATAATGATGGCACTGAAGTCCAGGTGGCCTTGCAGGATCCAAACTCCCTTTAATCCAGGTGATTATGGTAATGAATATTTCTTGGAAGCCATAAGCAAGAGGAGGAAGAGTCTTTACGCTGCACAAACCAAAGTTTTTCCTTCAGAATGAGGGCAAAGAGCTCTGTAGGGAAATTCCATCGGACCCAGCATAACTATCTGCAAAATCTCCGGGCAGTTCTGGTTTATCAGCAGAAAAAGCCACTTCCTGAGCCCTTGTCTGCAGGATAACTGATAAACCACCCCAGTAAACAGGGTTCAGATCCTCTGCAACTGTACTTACTTAAGGAAGAAGAAATTCAGCGGTATCTTCTTCAGGTGCAATGAGTTGCATTTTTAAATTTCCTACGTGGTTCTAAAGGTCTCATGTAACAACCTGCCCCAAACCAGAGCAATTTATGGCCATGGGGAAAGGCAGGAACAGCAGCTGCATCTCTTCCCTCTCCTTTTTTCACAAGGACTATGGCTTTTGCTCAGATCAGTCAAGCCTGTCCTAGATGGAGATTCATGCAGAGAAGAGCATCTGCAGAAGAGCTGATAATGAGGGTGGTGGTGCCCTGGCACAGGTGCCCAGAGAAGCTGTGGCTGCCCTGGATCCCTGGAAGTGCCCAAGGCCAGGCTGGACAGGGCTTGGAGCACCCTGGGACAGTGGAAGTTGTCCCTGTCCATGGCAGGGGGCGGAACAAGATAATCTTTAAAGTCCTTTCCCTTCCAAACCATGCCAGGACTCTGTGATTCTCTGAATGTTTGTTTTCCACAGATGCTGGTGGGGTCAGTCAGGGAACTGCTGTTCCCAAATGCTCAGCTTGCCAGGCTGCAGAGTGTGGTGATTTTATGTGAAAGCCAATTTTGTGATTGGGTAAATTCCATCAAATATGTTTCCATCGCTGAGGAAAAAAAAAAAAATCAGCTAAACAGGATGTGCTGATAAACACTGCAGCACCGGCCAAAACCGCACTATTGCTTTTCACAAGGTCCATATAAATAATTTTAAAATAAACACCTGGCAAGCTCCCAGCTTCTACCAACCTCCTTTGACAAGTGATAGAAAAAAGACTGTCTGGAAAGAACAGCACTGCACTTTAGGGGGTGCTCATGTGGAATTACCTGAATGAGCCAGCAGTTCTGGGTTTCTGAGGTTTCTGAGCTGTCAGACATCAACTCTTGCATTGTCCCCATGGCAGGTAGGAGCTGCTGTGATGTTTGATTTCACACACTCAGACAACTGCAGAGCAGACAGATTGCAACTGGTGACAGTTGAGTGCTGAGAGGCAGATCCCAGAGAGGCAAAACAGGGCAGATTCCTGATGGCTTTCTGAAAATCCAAACGGTGAGATCCTCCAAGGGGGTAAAGCTGTAGCCCCAGCTGTGAATTCATCCCCTGGGATAAGGTGAGGCTGGATCTGTGCCCGTTCCTTGAAGCAATGTCAGAAGTGCCACCCTTGGCAGGGAGATCCAGCGAGTGTAAACCGAGCTGGGGACTTATTTAGTTCAGGAGAAATGTCAGGCAAAGCTCACACTGTGCTAAAAAAAGCCATTGGGAAGTCAGACCTCATCCGCAGGAGGACTGAGCTGGAGCAGAGCACCCATCAGGTCCTCAGGAGCAGGAGGGGACAGCAGGGCTGAGCTGCCAGGCAGGAGAGGCCAGAAAGCTCCAGAGCGTTTTCATGGTCTGCTCAGAGCTGGGCTTAGAGAGCAGGAAGAATTGGAGGGGAGGAAGAATTGGAGGGGAGGAAGAGTTGGAGGGGAGGAAGAGTTGGAGGGGAGGAAGAGCTGGAGAGGAGGAAGGGGTGCTCTGCACCCAGTTCCACTTGGAATCTTCCCAGTGGGTGCCCAGCCAGCCCAGCAGAGCCACAGGACAAAGGCATGTAACCCCATTTTGGGGTCTTTGTGGGGACACCTGAGCAGGACTGAGCTGCAGGGCTGGGAGCAGGGTTGGAGCCACAGCCAAGCACCAGCAAAAGCAGCACCTTTTGTGGCACCTCCTGATGTCACCCAGGTCCCCTCGCTCGTGTAAACAGTGGTGCAGGGGACATTCCACTTCCTCCTGAGCACTCGGCTGCGCTGAGCACGGCTCTGCCCGCCAAGGTAAGGCTGCTTGAAACCTCTCCTTGGGATCAGAAACCTCCCTGTCTTCCCTTGGGCTTTTCCTAGGGGGTGGCTCTTGCCAGGAGGAGTTTTGTGCCACTTGGAGCCCTGCAGCAGCAGCAGCAGCAGCTGCTGCTCTCCTCGTGTGCCAATGCTCTGGGTGAACACATGGAGGAGTTCAAACAGCGGCTGCTGCGCCTGCAAAAACAAATGTCAGGCGTGGGTTTAGCGGCGCTCCAACTGTTCTGCAGCGTCCTTAATAGGGATAATTTCTGTCTCTTGCCTGATTCCTCTGGGAATATATTTTATTTTAAAGTCATCCTTGACAGTAAAGGCAAAATGCAAATCTGTTTTTTCCAACGGGGGTTTATACTGCCATAAAATAAAATCCATGTGCTGCCCATCTTTGTGCCATCTAAGGCTCTGTGAGTGAGCAGCAACAGGAGGAAATTGATAATAGTGAGGGGACACAAGATGACAAAAATAGCAGGATTGCTTGGACTTGCATTTGCTAATGAGAATTATGAGGTGGTTTTAATTCCTAATTCATGCTGTAGTCACTGCTCTGGATTAAAACTTGATTTCATGGGCTAAAGATTTTAAATTTAACTTCATGGGCTGAAAGTTTTAAACTTAACTTCATGGGCTGAAGGGTTTAAACTTGACTTCATGGTCTGCAGGTTTCCAGCTGTACTCTGTAGAAGGTGCTTTTCTGCTGGCTTTGCTCTCACTTGCACCAGCAGCTCAGCTCTGCTGGGAGCCCAGCAAACAGCCCGTGGGATGGTCACAGACAGGATTTAGAGTGGGTGGCCCCTGAATCCAAGATTTCTGCACGTGGATGAAGAGGGAATCTCACAGAAGGTGAGCCAGGATGTCGGGATCTGCAGGAGGGGATTCCTCAGCAGGCTGGAGCAGGAGCTGTGCAGGGACAGTGGGGTTCTTTTCAAGGGTATTATTTTTGGTGTTAAGTAAAAGTGCAGGGACTTTAGCCCCAGTGCCAGCATCATCAGCCATGGGAATTCCACCCATGAGGGAAGTGCATCCGTGGGACAGCCTGGAGCCAGTGCCCTGAGGGGGCTCTTGCTGTCTCTGCTGCAGCTGCAGGAAGGAGTTCCACCAGTGCTGCAAAACGAAAATACAGCAGACAGCCCAGACCTGCTCTTTTTTCTGTGAAAGAAAACCAAAAAAGCCCCTTTAACTGTAAAATGTTCCACTCGGAGCACAGAGGTTTCACTCTGGTGTCACAGCCACGCACTGAGGGCAGAGCGTGGAGATGTTTGTACCCAATCAAATCAATTAACCTGGCTCTGATGGGCACCTCAGACAGATCCAGGGCTCTGGAATGATATCCCCGAGCTTCTCAGCCTATCCAGATGAACACCTTTTGCCTAGGAATGCTATGCTTAGTTTCCAGTAGTAACATGTTCTCATCTTATATCCTTATTGCAACAGCATCAGGGATGCAGAATCTCACAAAAATATAAAAAATAGTGGTTGGATCTCAGTGTGTTTATTTGACACTGTTTTTTTTTTTAAAGAATTCATATTCTGAAAGCAATGTTGCAGTGGGACCCACCTCTCTCTAACATGTAAATGAGCACTGCTGAAATCTACTGGTGATTTCAATTTTCTTCAGCCCCTGTTGCACACCCACCATGCAGTGAAGGACTTTGGAGAAGTAATTTTAGGACCCTCAGTGGTATCTCAAGCATCTGCTTTTGTGCACAAGTAGGAAGAGAAGGGGTTGGTGTAGGATTAAGTCTCAGTCTGAGCCAAAGTGAGAGGAAAGGCAGAAATGCAGAAATTTTGTAGTGCACTGTGTGTGTCTGGGTGCATTTTGATTAAAAAGAAGGCTTAATCTTGTTATGTTTTTATGGTTTTGTAATGAAATTCTTAATCCTCAGAAAGGCCCTGCTGATGAGCCAGCAGACACCACCTCGTGCATATTAATTGTGGTAATGTATTAATTGTGTGCACTGCCAGCCAGGACACCCTGCTCAGACCCTGAGCTCCCTGATGCAGAGAGGGATTTGCTGACTCCAGGGCATCCACCTCCTCTGAATTAGATCTCCTGGGATGGTGGGGCTGGGACATCACCTGCAGGATGGGTTTTATAACCTCATGGCTCCAAGGTTCACCACAGCTCCATGATCTCCACCACAGTGTGGCTTTTCAGGATTCTTCTACCTGAAAACTGAATCATAGAATCATTTAGGTTGGACAAGACCTTTAAAGATCATCAGAAAAAATACCAGCAACCAGGCCCACTCCTGGGAACAATTTTTTTCCCTCATATCAGTTATTTGACAACACTGGATGTTTTCAGTTTGGGATCCTCCTAAATGATGGCAAGGTGGACTCATGAGAGCTCCCACTGCTGCCACTCAGACAACACTTGGGGTGAGAAAAAACAGTTTAGAGAGAGCCAAGGAATGGAATTTGGATGAATTCTGACACCTTGTGGACAATTAGCAGATGAAGGTGATGGATGAGGGGGAAGCTCTCCATGCTCTGGGCTCCTGCCTGGGCAGGGTTTGTCCCACCAGGAAGCCAAGCTGAGCTCTGGGATGGAGTGTGTGCCCTCAGCAAAACCCTCGTGGTCCAGGGACACATGCTGGACACAGCAGTTTGTCCTAAAGCCTCTGGTCTGAGCCCAGTTTGAGTCAGCAGACCTTCACCCCATCACCCCAGTTGTCCTTAGTGTCACATGAGACCTAAGTCACAGAATCACAGAATATTCTGGGTTGGAAGGGACTAAACAAGGCCTAGCTGTATTTAAGTACCCCGGCTGCTGTAACTCATGGGGCTGAAGAACAAGCACACACTGGCCAGCATTTAATTCCATAATTAATTATAAAAGTGTCTTTAAAATATAACATTTTGCAGTTGTACCTAACCCTGTGTGGTTTTAATGTTCTCCCACCAGCTGTGTCTGGAGGAGCAGCAGGCCAGACCTTCCAACTTTGATATCCAAGGAAAACCAGGCATGCGAGGACTTGGAAAAGGGTTTCTCGGCAAAGGGAGAGGTGACCTGAAGGGACAGAAGGTGAAGTGGGTGTGCTTTTACCAGAGATAAAGCCATGGCCAGCTAGACAACAGCTGGAAAGGGATGAAACCTCCCAAGCAGCAGAAATTCACAGCTGTCCCAGGAAATGGGATTTAACCCACATCCCCCACTCTGAGGGGAGGAACAACCCCATGCTCAGCTCCAATCCCTGTTCACTCCCTGTCCTGACAACTCCCAGGTGGAGAGCAGGAGGAGCAGGAGGCCTCCATTGCTGCTTCTCAGGGGAGATAAATCCATGAGCCAGATGAATCTTCTACATTTCTGTCACACTTGGAACCTCTTCGCTCCTCATGGACCTGTTTTGGCCTTGTGAGAGGAGCAAGGCTGTGGTATCTTGTTATGGGGAACATGGAGCAGAGCACCCTGTCCCAGAGCTGAGTGTGGGGAGGGGATTGGGAAGGAGCTGGAGGGATAAAACAGCTCTGAGGGCCTGGGATCCAACATCTTGGGGAAGGAAGGGCACGAGCCAGAGAGCTTCCCAAAGGCAGCACTTCCCTGGTGCTCGGAGCAGCTGGAGCTGCTGAAGATGAAGCTGCTGCAGGAGATAAACACACAGACTTTTCTTTTTGAAGGCTGTGGGAATGTGAGAGAGAAGCTGAGAAAGAAAAGCAAGAATCTCTTTTGGGTTACAAGGCCCTGCCACATCTGGGCATTTTGGGGGCTGAATCCCACCCCTGCCATGGCAGCCTGGACAGAGTCTGGATGAGCTGTCAGATGTAAGCACCACAACGATTTAGAGGCTGAAAACCCAGAAATTTGTGCTCTGTGTCACTGAGAGCTCTAAACTCAATGCTTTTGGTAACACGAAGGAAAAAGCTTCAGTAACAGAGTAGGAGTTACTAATTTCTACCTACAGAGACAGTTTTTCTGGCAAATGCCCGTTGCAGGAAATGAGTCAGAGGAGTGAATCAGTGTCTGCAGTGCCACATGAAGCTGATCTTCAGCTTTAACCATTGTATTCAACATGAGAGGGAATCACTGTAATGAAAATTATAACCCTGTGAGGAAACCCCCAATAAACCCCAATTCCTGCCTGTGCTGCCTTGCTGAGGACTAGTGACCAAATTTACTGGTCCCGGTTACAAAAGCTGGTAAAAGTGGCCCAGCAGTTCAATACGTGGCATTTTGCTGATGGCTGAGAGGCAGAAATTGGCAGCAGCTAAAAAGTAAAATTATCTGACGGAAAAAAGAGTCAGACTGAGGCTGCCATGGTGATGAGAATAGAAGTTGGTGGCGTGACCAGGTCTCTGTGTGTTCCATCAGCATAAATGCATTAACAGAGCACTTCAGGAGCACTGGCTGTGTTCACAACTGTCACATTTTTCAAGTCCACTCCCTGCTACCCTTTTGCATGTGGTCTGTGCCCGTAATTCCAGACAAAGTGGGTCCATGAGGTCCTCTGAGGGGCTCAGAGGCCTGTCCCCCACATAATGCCCAACACAGCCCAGCATATCCCTGGAAGTGCCCAAGGCCAGGTTGGATGGGGCTTGGAGCAGCCTGGGATAGTGGAAGGTGTCCCTGACCATGGCAGGGGGTGGCACTGGATGGGTTTTAAGGTCCTTTCAAACCAAATAATTCCATTATTCAGTGCTTGGGACCCACACTCTGAGCGTTGGGCGTGACCATGATGGAGGCTGGGATATGCCCACTTTCATCCATGTATTCCTGCCTTGCTCCCAGAGACCAAACCACAGGAGACCTTGAGGAGATGGCCAAAGGATGGGCAGCTTCTCCTCCTGCCCCGTGACCAGTGTAGCACAGCTTCACTTGTGCCTCCAGGACTGACACACCAGGAATGGTCTCCCACGCCTGAGGGAACAGTGGGATCTCTGACAGGGCAGCTCTGAACACGATTCCAGGATGTTTCATGCAGACAACATTCCCAAACCTCTGCTTTGTGCTGAACAGCCAAATGGGAGATGCAGATGTGAGCACTGACAGCTCTTGCAGAGCCTTTGCCTTCACATCCCGTGTTTGTCTCCACAGGAATGACCCACCCACCCTACACCGCCACAGCCTCTTCCAGCAACCCAGTCATGAGCCAGAGCAACCAGAGCTGCTCCCGTCAGGACATCACCTTCAAGAGCAGCCTCTACGCCACCACCTACACCCTCATCTTCATCCCAGGGCTCCTGGCCAACAGCGCTGCCCTGTGGGTCCTGTGCCGCTTCCTCAGCAGGAAGAGCAAAGCCGTCATCTTCATGATCAACCTGGCCGTGGCCGACCTGGCCCACGTCCTCTCACTGCCCCTGCGCATCTACTACTACATCAACCACACCTGGCCCTTTGGGGATGTCCTCTGCTTGCTCTGCTTCTACCTGAAGTACCTCAACATGTACGCCAGCATCTGCTTCCTCACCTGCATCAGCATCCAGCGCTACTTCTTCCTGTACCACCCCTTCCGCGCCAAGGGCTGGAAGCGCCGCTACGACGTGGCCATCAGCGCCCTGGTCTGGCTCGTGGTGGGGGCCCTCTGCGTGCCCTTCCCCATCATGAGGAGCCACGGGCTGGGTGCCAACACCACCAGCTGCTTTGCCGACCTGCAGGTGAAGCCGATCGACAGCAAGGTGGGCACGGTGCTGATGACCGGCACCGCCGAGCTCCTGGGCTTCGTGGGCCCGCTCGTCATCATCTTATTCTGCACGTGGAAAACAAGAGACTCCATCCGGGGCTTCCATATCCCAGAGGAAAACAGCGGGGAGAGGAGGAAGGCCCTCAGGATGGTTTCCATGTGTGCTGTTGTGTTCTGTGTGTGTTTTGCTCCCTACCACATCAACTTCTTCTTCTACATGTTGGTGAAGGAGAATGTCATCACCAACTGCTTGCTGAGCACCATCACACTCTACACCCAGCCCTTCTGCCTGAGCCTCGCCAGCTTCGACTGCTGCTTGGATCCCATCATCTATTTCTTCATGACTTCCGAGTTCCAGGAACAGATTTCCAGGCACAGCAGCATGGCCATCCGGAGCCGGCTCATGAGCAAAGAGAGCGCCTCGTCGATGAAGGGATGACAAGAAAGCCACTTGGATGAAACGAAGGTATTTCATGTGAAACCTGAGACTGGTCTGGGATACTCCATTACCAGCTCCCTTGTGGAAGATCCTGGAGTTTTGTCCAAGGGAGTTTTGTGGCAGTGGAATTGTTTCAGTATATAGAAGATAAAATCTTGTCTAAGACTGGTATGTTGGAATCTGGTGAGCGGCCCAATTGATGTGACTGTCCCCCTCCCTGTGCCACCCCCACCTGACCTCACTGGACTAGAAAATACACAGGAGGGAGTAAAAAAACTGGTGGAAAAGTCCCAGGCTTTTCTTCTATTTTCCCAGTTGCAGCTCTATGATAAAGCCAGAGACAATCCCACATTCATACACTGACATCTGCTGAAGGATCTTCTCAGGGAAAACCACACAAGAACCTAAAACTGGCCAGTAGCAACCAAAGGACACTGTGGTTTGTGCAGCAGGGTTTGTGGACAGGTGAAGGTGTGCAGGTGGTTTCCACGTGCTCCTGGGTTTGGTGCATCCCACAGGTCACCAGTGACCTCTGCTCCCCCTTTCCACACTCACCCTCCTGCTCTGCTCCTCCTTTCCCTCCTCACCCACCTCTGTTTTCTCCCTAATTGCTGACACATCCCTGAACTTGCACCTGCAGCTGGTGAAAGATGCTCTGCAAGAGAAATTCTCCTCAAACATCCAGAGAGTGGCACCTTTCCCTGCTCCAGGTGACTTTCTTCCCTCCAAGCTGGCAAGGTGGACACGGGCAGGTGGCTTTTGCCTTTGGACCCCTTGGGGAAGGACCATGGTGGTCCTGGGGTCAGTGCAGGTGGGTTTGATGGTGCTGGTGATACCACTCAGGTTCTCACTCCCTTCTGTGTGTGGTCCAGAGGTAACTGAGACGAATCAGCCCCGAAAAAGCTCAGCTCAACCTGTTCAGTTGATGCATCTTTTAAAAAAGAGAGGATTCCTTGCCAAGGTGATTTCACTGATAGAGCAAAAGTTAAGTTCCTAAACTATTGTGATTTTTTTTTTCCACCAGGTCCGGTCATGATCCTAAGGCTTACATTTTTAGATAGCTATGCAAAGCAGCAACAAGGAAGGATTCATTTACCCCTTATTTTTAATTAGTTACAGCTCTTCCGCCAAGTCCACCCACTCTGTAACCTCAAGGGTATCTCATGATACCTGGGGATGGATTTGGCTGAACAGTCACCAATTTATTGCCTTTGGAAATCAGTATATTTTCAAAAGAACGTGAACAATTTGTACAGTCTTGCAACAGTTGCTACAAAACCAGAAGAAATACCAGAAACACTTGCTACGTGTATTTTTACCCCAACCACTCAATTTCATTTAATTAAAATGTAACTCAGCCAAATATTTCCTTATATTGTGTTTTCCCACTTCTCTGTTTTGCAAAAAAAAAAAAAAAAAAAAAAAAAAAAAAAAAAAAAGAGGAAAAGTCAAGAATCAGGGTTTAAACAACCATTTCCCTCTAAAAGACAGCAGCACTGATTAAACACAATAAGCTGTCATAGTTCTCCTCCTAGGTGTGAGAAGATGATTTTGAGCTGAGTAGGTGGCACTAGGGGTGATGGAAATGTTCTCTCTGATGGCACTGACACAAGAAATGTTTACACACTGCAAGGAGCCCCCTTCCAAAGGGATGGATGCTCACGGGCAGAGCTGACCTCACACAATTCCACAATTCAATTGTCAGTTCAGCAGTCTCTCATAAGCTACACTCTGTATAAAGTTGTCAGAGAAGGAGAGTTCCATTTCAGTGCTTGTTTTGAGGATTTTTATAGACCTTGCTCAGCCTCCATGTGACTGGGAGCTGTTTCCTGTCCCTTCACTTTCGCACCCTTCTCCCTTGATCAGCTTGTGAAAACAAACTGAGGGCACTTATGGGAACTCTGTAGCTCCTTCTGTGGGTTTTTTGAGCATCAGTTCCCAAGAACTGATGCTCAAAAAAATAAATAAAAATAAAGGCTGTTTTGCAAACATCAGTTGAGTTTTGTAGTTATCACTGGTACCTGGAAAAATGTGTGGGATCAGCTTCTCTGGGATCAGGGTGCAGCAAAGGAGCACAACTTTTATTATTATTAAACAGATTTGTTGCTTGTTTTCACTCTGGATAGTGGTTATTTATTTAATTTTTGAATCTACCACACTTCTATTAGATTTAGAAGTATTTTGAGGATGGGAAGGTGTCCTAGGTAGTGGGAGATGGACGAGGCATGGGAATACCTGCTCCAGCTGCTGAGTGTCCAGGAGTGACAGTGGCTCTCCTACCCATAATCTTAGCAAGGATTTGGTGTCTCCATCAGGGATAACATTCTCCATCTCCATGGTGGCATCCCCAAGCGTGTGAGTTCCCCACATATTCCTGCCTTCACCCTCTGAACTCCCTTAGGTTCCCCAAAATGCTCCTGTTCCATGCTGCAGCCCCAGCCTGTGAGGAAAAGCCACACATTCAACCCTTTTAATCTTGTGGTGTGCAGGGGATCAGATAACTCTGACTGAAAGTCTCTTCTGGTGTGGGGGAAAGTGCCCTGGTTTTGGCTGGGGTGCAGCTAAGCCACCTCTGTGGGGTTCAGCTGCCAGATGGATTTAAACCACCAGGGAAAGTCAGTCAGGATGGACCAGCCTAAAGAGCAACAGCTCAGAGCAGACATCAGGGAAAACTTGCACTTTTCTGAAAGTCCAAGACGATCCATTTGGCCTCCACAAACCCATGCATGATATCCAAACCCTTTTGTCCAGGCCTCCAAAACCTCAGTGTGCATCTCAAGAGAAGGAAACAGGCATTCCAGTGAGGAGGAGAGTATTCCAGCTGCCTTCCCAGCTGCCTGGTGCTGGATCTGACCCAGGATCTGGGCTGCAGGGGCTGCTTTGCCTCACACAATCAGAGGCACAACAAGCCTGGCTCAGGTTCCTGTAATTCACCCCATTTCCTGTGACCAAAAAAACATGTTTATTATTTTGACAAGAGGAAATATAATTTCATGATGTTGCTCCTGGATTATCTCTTGTTCTGGTCCTGCTGCTCAGACTCACAAGTAGAAAAAGACTTTTCCTCCTTCTTGGGCATACACAAAAAAGCTGTTTTAACAGACATGCCACAGAAAGGCAGACTTGACCCAAATCAAGAGGTTTGGTGCAGCTCCATATGGGTATGAAAGGTAGATCTGAAGGGCTCCTGGGGTTGGAGCATCTCACCCTGAAGGGTACTGCTCAGGATGGAGATGTGCTGAGGTCTCCAAGCCACCTGCACTGGCCCATCCCTAAGGCACAGCCCTGGGCAAACACATTTCTTTTCCTCTAGAACATGAACAATTCACCTTTTAGCAAAAGCAAATTTTCTCTGCAGAGCCACCCCATCTTAACCAGGAGCAAATGTCTGGTACCTCCCATCCTGCTTGGAAGGGCCCTCCTGTGCATGAGAGCAAACATATATGGAAAAAAACTCCTGAGGATTTAAAGCCCCTCTGCAGCTTCAGGTTCTGAGCTGCAGAATCTTGCAGTACCTCTTGCTTCCCTTAAATGAAATTACCAGCTCTCTGCCCAGAGAAAAAACAAAATATGCTGGAAATGCAGCATAACAACCCTGCAGTTCAAAAATATGAAACCACTTCATTGCACTTAAAACATTTTGGGGATGACTGGTACATTTTAACCAAAAGTGCTGGGTTTCTGGATTGGACAAAGGTTTAGCCCAAAAAGTAAGGGAGGCATTGATAATTATTTGCTGTAAAATAAATTAGAGCTCCCCAAAATGCTGTCCCTCTGTGTGACAGTGAGAGGGACAATGAGCTGGGGGCTCACCCAGCCCTGCTCAGCTCCCTGCACAAGGGTGAAGCTGCTTTGTGTGAACAAACCTCCTCCTCCCCCTGCTTTTCATACATCCTTCAGGTGCATCCTGTCAGATATTCTCAATGCTGAGTGCTTGAGAGATGCTGATCATCTACATTTGGCCCCCTGCCCACAGGATACCAGGCTGCAGGAGAAGAGACATTTATCTGGAGACCTTAGATAAAGTCTCATAGTTATTTTAAAAGTTATTGTGAAAGTTCCTTTGTGTCTTCTGCCTTTGAAAGCAGAACATTGCCAAGTGTGAAAGGCAGGTTAGCGTTGGGGATGAGCCAGAGAAATAGAAATGCTAAACAAAAACCTGCTCAAGTTGAAAGAAGAATGGAGAGGTTGATTTGTGTGTGTGGAAGGATGAGGCCTGAGGTTTGTCAATCCCTCAGCTTTTCATGGCCAGGTGTTGTGATCTTCTGCAAAAGTTCTCCAAAAAGCCAAGGAGCAGAGGAATGGCTCAGCTTGGTTACAAAACCCTCGCTTGGCTCTGACATCCACTGATCTCTCCCCACCCTCAGCAGCACAGCTGGAAGCAAACACCTAAAAATAGGGCTCAGGGATGGCTGGATGCGCTGCTGCAGACACAGAAATAGGATGTCCCAGGCAGGATATCCTGATAAAACAGCCTCTTCACTTTGGGATTAACCTCTGCCCCCTGGAGAGGGACGGGGCACTGTGCCAGCCTCCTTTCTGTGCTCTCTGAATGCTCCACAGACACACGAGTGCTGCTCCTTCTTCCCAGGATCAGCACCAGCTGCTGCAAGAGATGCACAGGAAGAAAACTGGGGGTGACAAACAGCTCTTGCATCTCCCAAATCCTCTGAGATGAGAACCATGGGATGAGAAGCTGGGGCTGCCCCATTCCTGGAAGTGTTCAAGGCTGGACAGGGCTTGGAAAAATTTGGGATAGTGGGAGGTGTCCCTGCCCATTGTAGGAGTGCTGGAATCAGGATGTCTTTAAGGTCCCCAGTCCAAATCCCTCTCAGATTCTGAGATTTCTTGGCACAAGGAGACCTGGCAGCTGAGTAGGTGGCAGAGCTCTGGTGCACTCCTGACCCCAGCCCCTGAGCTGGTAACAAGTTTATATTATCTTCCTCCTTTCATTTCTCTTCCACAGTTCTGTTCCAGTTAATTTTGTGAGGTCACAGAACCATTTACAAAACATAGGGTAAGGATATTTCTATTTTTATGTTACCTTCAGGAAGGCAAAGTAGCCAACAGCCAAATTATCTGTACAAGCCCTGGGCTGTGAGCTGTGACCCTGGATATCAGGTAAAACTGCTCAGCTGAAAAAGAGGCAGCTCAGAAGAAGTTACACCATGAAGTTGCGCCACATCTTCAGCCATGCAGAAAGGAAGTCATGGTCAGCAGGCAGAAAAACAGCTAAAAGCTCTTTATATGTGCACATGTATAGGAAGGGAATGAAAGGAATTAAAGAAAAAGATTGGGAATTATGCACGTTATGGGTTTTTTAAACAACAGTATTTTGGGGAAATCTCCACCTTAAACCATCACATTATGTCAGAAATAAAGTCCAAACCATCCTGCAGCCTTGATAGTCTGAGGCTAACCAAGCTTCCAAGAAAATGAGGGAAAATTACTCCCTTCCAGTAACTTACACTGGCAGAGTGCTCGGTTTTCCTTCAGCGAGCACTTATTGGGAGGTTGCTTCTGTATTTTACAGTGACCGTGGAGAGGAGCAGGAGCAGCCGGAGGGAAGGGCTCCATCCCCTCCCGCAGCCCCTGCGCCCAGCGGGGACAGAAATCCTTGGTCTCCAACCCAGGGCACCAAAGGACGTCATCGCCTTCCCAAGAGGCTCTAACGTCATTAACTGCACACGTTTGGTGTGGAGAAGAGAAAGAAAATACAGGATTTCCTGCTCTGCAGCCAGCGGACCGGGCTGCAGATGCCGGCAGGATTCCAGAGCTCCGAGAACATGTGGAAGTTAAGCGAGGAGGAGTTGGGATTGCTGAGAAAAGCAGAAGGGAAGAAAAGCAGAGCGCTGGCTGCTCCTGCTCCCTAGCACGGCTATGACCCCCCCACAGCATGGGCAGCACAGAAAGGTGAGTGCCATTTCTGCTCTTTTTATTCGGGAGACTGAAACCTGCGCGCTTTGAGAGACTTTGTCACTTCTTTGTAGTTCTTCAAGAGATGGTATCGGGGCAGGAGCTGGTGCAACATCCTCAGCCGCTTCTGCTGTGCCCACGAATTTATCTCCGAGGGTGGGTGAGGAGAGTCAGTGCCTGGGGCAGGCTGTGGTGTGGGGGAGGACATGGGGAGCGGCTGCTTTAGCCAAAAAAACCTCAATTTCGTCCTTACTGACAGAGGCTGCCATCAGCGACCAGCTCTATTTACGCATTTCCTATTAGTGCCTAGATTAAACAAACAAAATTGTTGCTTACAACCCCAGTCCCAGAAAACTCCACTACTTAAACCAGGACCTCATTTCAAGCCATAAGTGGTTTTATTAGTTTTTAAATTTTTTTTTCCCCAAGCCTCCTTTTCCCTCCAGCATCCCCAGCCCTGAAGGGAGGCAGCTCTGCCCCCATCCCCCAGCTCGGAGGGCTCTCCCCAGCCATGCCTGGAGTTCAGCTTTAGCCTGGGTTGTCCAAGTAGCCCATGGAAAAGATGAGGATGAGTTTGCCAATGGATCGGGAGCAGCAAATGCAGGAACACCCCGGTGGTGTGGGGCTGGGTGGGGCCCGGGCTGATTCACAGGGGCCGGGCTGTTTCCAGCGCTGACTTTCGCCTCCAAGAACACTCCAAAAATCAGCCCCGGGTGCTCTAAGAGCTGCCTTACCTCCTGATTAATTGCAGTTATTTGATGTTTAATGAATGGCGGGGCTGCATCCACAGTCAGTGCTCTGACTCCCGGGCACAGATACTGGGCTCCCTTGTGGAATTTCAGCTGATTAAAACTCAGCTCTGCCAAAAAAAGCACTTCCTGCTCCTGCCCGTGTTTAAATCCATGTGTGGATGACATGGGAAAATAATCAAAGAACGGCAGGAATATTTTATAGAAAATTTATAAAGGCACTGAACAAAACTGCAGACAGAGCCCACAGGAGCATCTCTGTCCTGACACCACCAGCAAGGCAGGAGGAAGCTGGAGGGGCATGGGACAAAGGGAAAACTGGAAAACAATAAAAAATGTACAACTCCACCTTCCCAGGAATTGTTGTAGTGAACAAGCCTGGCCTGACCCCAGCCCAGGGTGGGGATCTCTGCTGCTTTCCTGCCGGTGCCCTCCAGAGCTGTGTTGGGTACCAGCAGTGCCAGCCAAACCTCCTGCCAGGAGCAGACACTGCTGTGCTCCCAGGGAGAGCCAAAAACATGGAGAAAACCAGCAGGGAGGCTCCCCATGGAAGAGGTGGATGATTTAGGCTGAGTTGTGTGGCAGGGACCCCTTCCGTGAGCCCACACCAAGTGCCACCTCTGTCACTGCACATCTGTGACAGGAGCTGGGAACAGCTGCATTCCCCACACTCCCTGGCAGTTTTCCCTCCCTATTTTCTGCAGGGATGTGAAGACAAGTCCTGCCAGCCCTTTGCCTGGGTTAAACAGACTGAGTGCAAAGGGCACGAGTCCCTGATGGATTTTTGGGCAGGTGAGGAGCACAGGGATCCTGCAGGGACCAAGGAGCTGTTCTCCAGTATTCCCTCAGCACAGATATCCACTCTCCCCTGCCTTTCCCAACTCAGTGGAGCAATCACAAACCTCTGGCACAGTCAGCAAGCGAGAGGTGCCCTCACTCAGCAGCCCCAGTTCCACTGGAAAAACAAGGAAAAGCAAGAAGGCAGATTGGGAAAGGCTCGGTTTGGAAAGCAGGGTGGGAGCCCTGACCCTGCTGACATCAGAGGTGAGGGTGAGGGGCAGCCAGCCAAGAGGCCAGGACTGTATTTTAGATGTTTATCTGCACATAAAAAGTATAAAATATCTAAAATGATGATTTTCTGCTGATCCTGAAAACGTGGTAACCCCACCAAAGAGCTTCTCAGGTGAGGCAGCACAGGATGGAGGAGACTTCATCCTGTACCTTGAAGCATTGGGATGGATTCGCTCCTGGAAATCCATCCCTGTGACAAACATCAGGCTCTGGGAAACAGCACTGTGGCTGCTTCTTAATTAATTACTGCTGATGAGGGGCTGGGTGACAGAGACAGGAGGTGCTGAGGGCTCTGCCAGCCCCAGCTCCAGGCAGGGAAGGGAAGGGCAGGGCAGGCTGCCCACCCCTCACAGGCTCCATTTCCAAATCCCCTCTTCCCAAAAGAACAGATTATTTCTTATGGGATCTGCTCATGAATGGCAAAATCCATCAACTCTCCAGAGAGCAGCAGGAGCACCTGAACTCCCCATGACCTGCTGATAAATCCTCTCAGCACTGGGTGAGCTGGGATGGGTAAATGGAGGAGAAGAATTTCTACTTTAACTAGAAAGGAGTTGTATTTATCTCTCTGCATGTCCTGAGCAGTTGCTGAAGGATAATTCCTGCTGCTGAGGGATAATTCCTGCAGCTCCAGCACGATGCCTGCACAATGTGCCGGGAGTGGCGGAATTGAGTTAGCAGGACCAGCAGAGCAACTGGCGCGTGTTCGGCCAGTTATTAACTTATAAATCCAGCCTTAACTCTGGAGCCAGAGCTGATGGATCTGTCTGCAGCTCTCCCCTGGCCTCAGCTGCCTGGGGATGTTAATTATTGCCTTTTCTGCCAATTCACATCAGATCCCTGCATGGATCTGCAAAGACAGTGCCAAAATCCATTTCAAATCCCTATTTATTTACAGTCCAGCTGAAATTGCTTGTAGATGTGGAGCAGCAATTTGACAGCGTGCGAGGGGAAACTTGATAAAATAGAAGTGGTTCTGGAAAACCCAGGGAGCTGCAGAAGCTCTCTGGCAATCAAGAGATGGATGTTACAGAGCTCAGGGTATTCATTGTAATTGGGGCATCTCGCGAGACCCCGCAGCACCTCTGCAGGAGAGGGTGGAGGATGCCTGGAATCACTCCTGGGGAGTGGGGTCACTCTTCCCCCCACCCATTGACTTGCACACACAACTGACTCTTCTATCCTAATGCACATTATCTCCATGGAGAGATTTTGGCTTTACAGCATCTTTTTACCCACTCCAGAACCCCTCCCCCTGCTGTGACCACCCCATGAGTGAAGAGACCCGGCCAGGATGGAGAGCAATGTATCCTCCGAGAACTGTTCTGACCCCCAGATGTCCTTCCAGTCCACCCTCTACGCCACCACCTACACCCTCATCTTCATCCCAGGGCTCCTGGCCAACAGCGCTGCCCTGTGGGTCCTGTGCCGCTTCCTCAGCAGGAAGAGCAAAGCCGTCATCTTCATGATCAACCTGGCCGTGGCCGACCTGGCCCACGTCCTCTCGCTGCCCCTGCGCACCTACTACTACATCAACCACACCTGGCCCTTCGGGAGCTTCCTGTGCCAGGTGTGCTTCTACCTGAAGTACCTCAACATGTACGCCAGCATCTGCTTCCTCAGCTGCATCAGCATCCAGCGGTACCTGTTCCTGCTGCACCCCTTCCGCGCCAAGGGCTGGAAGCGCCGCTACGACGTGGCCATCAGCGCCCTGGTCTGGCTCTTGGTGGGGGCTGCCTGCCTGCCCCTCATCATCGTCAGGAGCCCAGCCCTGTCCAACTCCATCAACAGCTGCTTCTCGGACCTGGGCGTGAAGCAGCTCAGCCCGGGGGCCGCCATCGCGCTGGTGACGGTGGCGGAGCTGTTCGGCTTCGTCATCCCCTTCGGCACCATCGCCTGGTGCACGTGGAGGATGTGGCACTCCCTGCGGGAGGGCCCCACGGCGCTGCAGGATGCCGGCGAGAAGCGGAAGGCCCTGAGGATGGTCCTCATGTGCGCCGCCGTCTTCTTCATCTGCTTCACGCCCTACCACATCAACTTCCCCTTCTTCATGATGGTGATCGAGAACGTCATCCGGGACTGCGCCGTGCACCGGAGCACGCTGCGCTTCCACCCCATCTCCCTGTGCCTGGCCAGCCTCAACTGCTGCCTGGACCCCGTCCTCTACTACTTCATGACCTCCGAGTTCCAGGCGCAGCTGCTGCGCCACGGCTGCGTGGCCCTGAGAGCGCGGCTCCCGCCCCGCCGCAGCAGCGCCTCCGGCACCGACACTGCCCACGACATCCGCCTCAGGAAGAGGAATCTCCCTCGCCTCAAGTTCTGGTCTCTTCCCAAGTTCTTTGGCCAAATAAACAGCATGGACATCCCCAGTGTGCCACCTGATGAGCTGCTGCTGGAGTCCATCTCGTGAGAGCCCCGTCCACAAAGGGCTTCTGAGAGCTGCGGTGAGGATTGCTCTGCTCTCCAAATCCGTCCAGAATTGTCGCTGTGTGCCGCAGATGCCAGGACCTGATCCATGAGGACGTTGTCATGCCAAAAGATTTGCTGGTTGTGCTGTTGCTGCTGGGGACTGCTGTCTTCCATCTCTTCAAAAGCCATTGTTGATGCCAAAGTTTCCCCTGTGCTGAACTGCAGTGGGTTCAGGTGCCTCATTTCAGGTGTTTCTCTGCTTCTGCGTATTTGTCATTTTTGGGAATCCCTCTGAACCCCGAGCTGTGAGTGAGAGGCTCAGCCTTGGTACAGCTCTGGGGATTTCAGCCCTGATCCTGGGTACCTACAGCCACCATCACCAGGAGCATCCACCATGCTCACACGTGGCTCTGCATCAGGACAGCTCATTATGTCCCTGTAAACCAAAACTTTTCCACTACAAAAATCCATCACCTGGGTCCAATGCAGCCTAATCTGGACTGCAAGACTGTAACCAAACAAAGAGTATTAACCTATATCACATCAGTGTTGTAAGGGAGGGCTCAAACAAACTGGGCTCAGCTCACGCTGCTGGAAAAGGCACCAAGAGCTGAGCAGAAGGATCCACCTGGCTCCTGGGAGCTGCAGGTGCTTGGCTGATTATGGGGGATCAATATTTGGAAGACCAATTACAATAGATATGCCACAGGCAAGAGGGAGATGTGACACCTCCCAGGGCACATTAAGTCACAGAGCTCTGGTGTGAGCTGCAAAAACAGGGACCTGTCATTGGTGTCTCTTGTGTTGTTCTTGGGAGTCTTGTGTTGTCATGTTGTTGATGTGCGTGGTTGCACATGAAGATGTTATCCAAAATTTCAGTTTTGCTTTGAACACCAAAAACCATCCCAACCTCCACTGGGTACTGAGAAAATTTACAAAACTGACTCCAGTACACCCTGAAAGCTTCAAACTCTGAGGAAATAAAATTATCCTAATGTGTATTTGAGCTTCAGGAGTATTATTTTATGTGCTTGGAAATAATCTCATTATGCTCCACATCTGCTGTCGGAGCAGTGACACAATTTTGGGGGGACACCCAACTCTGGAGCTCAGAGAATCCTTGAAGAGTAGCCAGTGCAGGGGTTCTGAGGTCTCCTCCTCCCAAAAAACCCTTAGGGAATTTTTTAAGTAAGCGTAGGCAGAGAGGGATTGATAGAAAACAGCTTTTCCCATGATTGGATGCACATTTCCACCCCGTGCAGTGTTTCTGGGAAGCACGGAATGGGTGCTGAGGCTGGATTGGGGAGACCAGATGGGAGACCCAGACAAACTGGAGGAATTTGCTTTGGTACTTAAAGTGTGCCAGAAATAGGCAGAAAACTCCAGGAGCAGGCAGAAAACTTCTGCCCTGGGGCTCATTCTGTCCCAAATCTCCTCCTCCTCTCACAAAAAAATATAAATAACAAAAGGCCATGTTTCCCTTGTTTGCTTGGTGGGGGAAAAAAAGAGCTTCCAGGGCTGGAAAAATGCTGTTTCAGATGGCCCAAACCCAACAGAGTGTGGAGGCAAAACAGGAAACCCAAGAAAACCTCACCGATGCCGGGACTGGCTCAGGGCAGCTCCCACAGACAGGACAAGCCACACTGGCAGGATCTTCACCAGGACTGTGGCTTTTCCCGGGTGTTTTGGGAATGGCACAACCCCGAGGAGCTGGGCTGGACATCCAGGTGGCCCTGAATGACCACAGACAGGTCATTTATAAGCCCCACCCTGAGCAACAGCAAATCCTGGATTGTGGCTCTGACTTTACTGGCAGCACCAGGCCCAGGTTTCCCAGGAGCTCCAGTTCCCGCTGGGACTTTGCCAGTTTGTTTTCAGATTGCTGTTCTGACATTTCTGCAACACAGCTTGCCCCTTCCAAACAGAGAACAGGAAAGGGCAAACCCAAAACTCTCCCTAATGTCACATGGAGACTCAACAGCAAACCCTCCCTTGGCTGTGCCTGCCTCCGGCACGGCAAACACAGAAAAATCCCTTGCAGGGTGGGACACCCTGGGCAGCAGGGATTTTGCTGGGTTCTCTGGAAATCAATCACTGAAGGAACATCCTTGTCCAGTACAAACTGGTGCTTCCTGCTTTTCCAAAGCCTGCCAGGCTCTTGCTTTATCAGTTGTAGGATCATCATGGAATGGTTTGGGTTGGGAGGGATCTTAAAGCTCATCCCACCCCTGCCATGGGCAGGGACAATTTCCGCTATCCCAGGTTGCTCAAGCCCAGTCCAGCCTGGCCTTGGGCACTTCCAGGGACCCAGGGGCAGCCACAGCTGCTCTGGGCAACCTGTGCCAGGGCTTCCCCACCCTCACAGGGAAGAATTTCTTCCCGAGATCCCATCTCAACTTACACTTACACATCCCTAAAATTATGCAGTACTTGTGAGTATCCAAGCTGTCCCTTGCACGGCACATTTTAGGGCCCCAAAGGGAGGGAGGGGAGCTGCTTTTCTCCTTGCTAAAAATACCTTTATCCTCCCTCCATGACCACATGCTCCCAGTCCAGCCCCAAAGTGCTTTTGCCTCTGGAAAACCACTCAGCCTCTGTGGCTGAGCCTCTCCTGACTTTTGGCACCGCTGCTGGCAAGGGCAGCTTCTCCTCCCACCCACCTCGTGCTGTCCCTGGCAGGGGAACAAACACCAACAGCTCCAACCCCGAGCACAACCCAAACACACTCAAAGAGAATTCTGCTGCTCCAACCCCAGGCGAGCCAGGGAGTGGTTCTCCAAGCCAGGGAGCTGTTTTACAGACAGCCATGATTTCATCAGACCCCAGTCCAATTTTTTGATTCATGCGCTCAGCCAGCAACACCCTGCAAAGCCCAAGTTTGGGGTGTGGTGGGACAGCACCGTGTGACAGCCCCAGGTGTGTCCATCACCCCTCCCACGCTCCAGGGTCCTGTTGAGGGCACGGGGGAGAGGATTTGGGAATTCTGCGTGGATGCCATGGCAGCGTTCAGCGCTGGGAGGGCGCTCAGCATTCCAAGGAGCAGCCAAAGCCTCATCCCTGCGCAGCCAGCACATCCTTCCTGGCAGATGCTGCCACGCCATCCCCAGCCCTGCTCCTTTTGCAGGGATTTTTTGGTTTTTAAAGAGAATTCCCTGCTGCAGGCACACAGGACAGGGAAATCCAGCAGGTTTAGCCCTCAGCCCAGTGTCAGCAGCACGGCTGCATCCCTGGCTCCACGTGAGCCCTGCTGATGTCGGGAGCTGCATCCATGGACCTGCGCCTGCTCCCCCTTTTCAGACACGCTCCTTTGCCCTGGGACAGCCCCAGCCGTGTGGAGAGCAGGCAGACAACTTCTTCCCAGGAATTATTTTTGTTAAAGACAGGCAGTGCAGAAGGACCTCAGCTGGTTCTCTCTGAGGAGTTCCTACAAGGTCATGAAGCACAAGCTTAGATAAACTGAGAACTTTCAATTCTTGTAAGACACAAAAGTAAGTAAAGAAAAAAAATATATAATCAATACGAGAGAAAAATACAATTCAATAATTTAACTTTATGCTTTAAAATAATTGCTTTGTGATTTGATGTCCAGCTCCAAGATCTCCTGATTTTTGTTGGCCACAACTGCAACAGGATTAGAAGGTTGAGTCAGGATTTTCCCTGGGGACAGCAGAACTCAGAGACTGGCACTAGCCTGCTGGTAAAGGCACCCTCAATTCTCACCCCACACCCCAAGAACGCTCCTGGCGTGATGGGAAATGGGATGGATGCTGGTGGCAATGCACACAGAGCATGGCCCCAGCAAAACAGGATTTGGGGGTGCTCTGCAAGGTGGTTTTGAAACAAAACACCCCTCAGTACCCTACATCCACTCCCTGCCCCGAGCTCAGGCTCTGCCTTCCCCTAACCTGGCTGACTGCTGTGGAAATGGCAGTGAAGCAGAGAATCCACCACGTGCTGCAGTGGGAAAAGCAAAGGAGCCCATCCCCAAACCCAGGTGCTGCTCAGACATGAGGGATTGGTGATTCCTGGGACTGGCCTCAATTTTCTTGTCTAATAAAGTCACCTCCAAACCATCCCCCTCAATCCTCGTGGGAGGCAGGGAGTGCCAGGGTCCCACAGGGGAATGCTGGTGGAGTGGGGCAGAGCTTGGGCACCCCTGGGTGTCACATCACACAGTTTTGGGGAGAGGGAGAGAAAATAAATGAGAGCATGGCAGAAGTAGCTGTGGGAGGTGCTGGGAAGGTTTCACATCTCAGATCCTGCTGAAATTAGGGAAACACCCCAGGACTGACATAAGCTGAGGCAGCATTCTCCTCTGAGAATGCTCAGTGAGACCCCAGCATGAAGGAACCCCCCTTCAGCACTAAACCCCACCCTCCACTGCTGCCAGCCCAAAAACATCAGTCCAAAACCCAGCCCTGCAGAGAAGATCCCACAGTGTTGAGGGCTCTGGCTCCCACGTTAATTAAAGCCCATCAAGTCATCAGCAGCTTCAGAATGGAGCTGGAAGCTTTAACCAGCAGGAGCATCAGCTGCTGGAACAGACACACAGCTGCATTTTTGGGAGATGTGTTCCCCAGAGCCTTAGAGAGGGGTTGGGCCACCACAGGGTGACAAATCCTGTGCCCTGCGAGGCTGTAAGAGCAATTAATCTGTAAACCGCCATAAAAATGAGTGTAGAGAGCTACAAACCCTAAGTTGGAATTGTGATATGAGTAAATCAGCGATGCTTTAAAGGAGCAGGGGTAATATAATGTATATATGTATGCTGTTCTCCTGGGGAGATGCGTAAGAAAAATGAATAAATACAAATTTAAAAGTCGCAAATCACTACAGAACTTATCTGGAAATGATTAGCAAAGTCACTTTTTCAAATTAACCAATTGAATACTTGCTCCCTTAACAAGAATTCTTCTTGATGCTCCTTGAGCCGAGTCCTCCCCGGCTCAGCAGGGAGGTGCTGCTGCTCAAAGCCAAAGCGCAGCCAGCTCTGCCCTCTGCCGATGGCCGCGGTGGCCCGGGGCTGCGACCGTCGGTGACACCGCTTCGTGGCACGTCTGGAAAAGAAGAGCCCTTGGCTCTCACCCTGTCTGCTCCATGAGAGCTGCGGGAATCCCCTGAACGAAATAATGACCGCGCTGCTTTTGGGGAGCCCAAATCTGCCCACGAGCAGTTCGGAGGGGGGGACCCTAAATCCCCCCAAATCCCTGGGAGCAGGGACTGCAAACACCCCGGTGAGAAGGAAAGCTTTCCCAGAAAGCTGGGGAAGGAAAATACTGGATGAATGCTGGCATTCCCTCAGCACAGAGGGGCTCTGCCGGCGGGTCCCTGTCCCCAGGAGCGCAGCTCGGGCTCCTGACCCCACCCCTGGCAGCAGCCACAGCTGCTGGGGTGACACCAACCCCGCAGCGACAGCTCCCAGAGCACCCCGAGAGCAAAACACCCTTAGGGACACCGGTGCAGAGCCCGGCGGGAGGAGGAGAGCGGCTGGTCCCGGCAGAGCCCGGGCAGGGACCCCGGAGCACCGGAGCGGGGCCCCGCCGCCCCCCGGCCCCGCCGCCCCCCGGCCCCGCCGCCCCCCGGCCCCGCCGCCCCCGGCACTGCCGCTTTCGCTCCGCCCTGGGGACACTCCGGGACAGCCTCCGGGACACCAAAGGTAGGGCTGGAATTCCTCTGTCCCGGCTATCTTCTGGTCTGTCTTGGGGGTTCAATGGGATTCTTTTGGTTGTTGTAGCCCTAGATTTGGTGAGGCTCTGCCGGGGGTGCTGAGAGGGGATGGGACAGTGCAGGGACAGCCAGGGGGGTCCTGCCTTCACCAGAGATCTGGTGTAACTCCCGGAGTAAATGGGTAGAAGGGAGGAGATGCAGAGTGAGCCCAGTTATATTCATTTACTGAAAATCTCCTGTGCCATGGGATGCTCTGAGCATCCGAATGAGAGCGGGGGGATGGCTGAAGTTAAAACACCCAGCATCAACATTTCAAGCTGTGTTTTCTGCTGTCATTGAGTGAGCAGCTGAGTTTAAGGATTAACCCCAACTCCAGCGATTCTCAGCCTCTGCAAAGGCAGCACCACCTGGGATGGGACTGGTCTGTGAGGGGCCTTTGAGGCCACGCAGCCCCATCCCCCCTGCACAGGGATAACTGACCCAGTCCCCACTGCTCCACACTTCCCTTGGGTTTGTCTCTCTCCCTTTGTCCCAAGAGTTTTCCCAAGTGGTCTATTCCTCACAAGGGGTACCACGCTGATTTTCCATGGGCCAATTTCCATTACACTGTTAGAACCAGGGAGGAAGAGGACAGGGTTACCTCAGCACAGGGACATGGCTGTGCATCCCTGGGGACCATGTGCTGATGGTTTGGGGGGATAACTTTCAACTTTGGTGCCCAAAACATCTTTCAGGGACATCAGGGTGTGCCAGGAAGGGAGAAGGAGGGTGGGGGATTAGGCTGACACACAGTACCGCTGTTTCGGGTTATATTCCCTTCTTAACCAGGATAAATATTAACAAAGGAGGACAAGAGCTTTTGCAAAGGATTAAAAGGCAAAAGCAGAGTATTTCACATGGCATTAAACCAGAGCATTTATTTTTTCCCTTCATATTCTTGGAATTTAGTTAGCACAGCAAGAGGCAACATCGCTCTGATGGAGAAACAGAAAAATCCCAAATATCTACCACGAAACTGCTTCATGGCAGAGAAGGTTCTTCTTCTGTCATTTGTTAAAAGAACAAAAAGCCCAACCCCATACAACATTCAGTTTCTGGTTTTAGCATATCTATTTTCAGTTCATACCTTGTAAATTCTATTTCCTGCCAAAGCAGGCCAGCAGCATTTCAGGTGAGCCAGAGAGCAAAGCTGGCAATGGGAGAAGCCCAGGCCACCCCTGGGCCAGCTCTCCCCTGCCCACAGGGCCCCTTTGGAGGGACCCAGCCACCCTCACCCTGCCTTCACTCTCACAGGAAACTGAATTTCTATTTGATGTTTCCCCTGTGCATGTTCTGCTTTTATTTTAGGTTGTGGAGGAGAAGAAGGAAAAACACAAAAGAGGTGCCAGGCACAGCCCAGCCCAGCTCCCCCAGGAGGGTAAGTGAGCAGGGGACACCAGGGTGCTGCTGCTGTGCCCCTGTCACGGGTTTTTTGTGTTCTTAAAACACATCCTCACCCTGAACACGAGGGACTGAGCACCCCCAGCTCACCTGGGCCAGCAGCAGGGGCAGGGCTTGGTGGAGGATCCAGCCAGGGCTTGGTGGAGGATCCATCCGGGGCTTGGTGGAGGATCCATCCGGGGTTTGGTGGAGGATCCAGCCAGGGCTTGGTGGAGGATCCAGCCAGGGTTTGGTGGAGGATCCAGCCAGGGCTTGGTGGAGGATCCAGCCAGGGTTTGGTGGAGGATCCAGCCAGGGCTTGGTGGAGGATCCAGCCAGGGCTTGGTGGAGGATCCAGCCAGGGTTTGGTGGAGGATCCAGCCAGGGTTTGGTGGAGGATCCAGCCAGGATTTGGTGGAGGATCCATCTGGGGCTTGGTAGAGGATCCATCCGGGCTCATCCATCACCTGGCTCTGGGCAGGAGTCACTGGTAGATCCCAGCTCTGAGAGGGCTCCAGGCACGAGGCAGCAGCAGGGACAGCACCCACAAACTGAGCCCAGCACCCACAAACTGGGCCCAGCACCCACAAACTGGGCCCAGCACCCACAAACTGGGCCCAGCACCACAGACTGGGCCCAGCCAGGAGCTGCTCCCAAAGCCTCTCTCGACCCAACTGGGTTTGGGAGTTGCTGTGGATTAAACCCCCAGGATTTACTAACAAGGACTGGACACCCCTAAGCAGCCTCGGGTGAGGGTGCTGAGCTCTGCTGAGGGTGCTGAGCTCTGCTGAGGCCATGGGGCAGAGCCCAGCTGTGAGCAGGGTCAGGGGCTGCTCCCACAGCCCCAGCTCCTGCAGGGGTTATCATGGAGCAGATGGAGACTCAGCTGTGCTCCAGCATATGGAAAATGCTTTACCCAGGATGTACCCAGCTCTAACAAGCTGATTTTAGGCTGCCTGTAACTCTTACCTTCATCCAGTGCCCCAGCGGGGCTGATTTGAGGGGTACCCATGGAAAAATCAGGGGGAAAAGTTGTGCAGGGGGAGAAGGAGGCTGTGCCTGTGGAGAGTCTCTCACCCACCCCCTCACAGTGAGGGGGAAGCAAGCACAGAGCATGCAAACCCAAATTTCCTCTTTCTGGAGATTTTTTTAGCATCCTGCTGTTTTTTTACACAGCACACAGGGCTGAACTCTGTGATGTTGCTGCTTGGGATTTCCAAAGTGCCATTTCTCACATTGCTGAGTTTTTACACCCCCTCCCCAGCCCTGAGGGTGCCTCTGGGTGCCCTGGCTGAGCCCCCTCGCTGCTCCCCACCTTCAGCTGGGCCTCGGGGACCCCTCGTGCCACAGGGACAGGCAGAAAGTCCCACAGCTGGAGGGGGCAGGGAATGGAGCTGCAGGAAAGTTGCTGTGTGATGGGGATGGGGAAGGGCAGGAGCTGAGAGACAGCAGGAAAAATAAGATGTGAATGTGTGGAAGGGCTGCGAGTGCACTTTGTCCTTCCCTCTGTGTGTCCCAAGGCCCAGAGATGGAGTTAAGGTAGGTTTTCCCATCTGGGAATGCAGCCAGGGGAGAAGGAGTAGGATCAAGTCTTCCTCAGTGGGTGACAAGAGCCTCTGCCAACAGGAGAGGAGAGGCAAGCTAGTTTAAATTGATAAGAAAAATTGTTAAAATACAAATATTATTAATTGTCACTTCTGGAGCATAACAGGATCTTTTCACGAGACATTTTACTCCACTGTTTGAGTTAGATGCTCCCTTTTTAAACAGAAGGAAGGAAGACATCTCAGTCTCCTTGGTGAGAGAAAATACAAAAATAGACATATTTCCTTTTATGGCAGATTTTCTGCTTCCACCCAAAACTACTTCAGAGTTTTGGTACCATCACACCAGCAAGTGCTGACCATCGTTAAATTCGTTTTCACATTTTTTACCTAAGCACTGGAAAAAAAAAACAGCAGGGACTGCAGCAGATGTCATTTTACCTTTAAAATTAAAATTTTAAAGAATTAAATCAAAAACATTAAAACATTTTAAATTAAGTAAATGTGCCTTTGGTGTCTGGGTTGGTACCTACAAACTTCTCCCACTTAGACCTGCAGGATAATTCTTCATGTGGAAGCCAAAGCAAACGTGAGACGGTTTGGGCAGAGATCTGAATTTCCTCTAGATTTATCAGATCTGGCTGAGGTTTTTTGTGTCTGACACATTCAGATAACATCACCTGTTTGGCTGCAATTTTAAATAAAATCCACCTCCAGCCTTTTTAGTAGCAGTTCTGGTATTACAAACAGCCTCAGATGTGCACGGTGGGTAAGGACAGGCTTGGAAAAAACAGCTGTGAGAAAGTCAGACTGGATCAAGTGCAGGTAGTTCTGCAAAGGATGGTTTATGTCCTATTTTTAAAAGATGAACCTGGATTTGACCCTATTTTTAAAAGTTGACCCTGGTTTTGTGAGAGCCACTGGCCTGGGACTTCCACCCCATGACACAGGGGTGGTGGCTGCACAGGGGAAAGGTTTGTGTGCACATGGGTTACACCAGGAGCAGATTTCCTTCTGTCACCTGCAGCTGGGAATGCTCCGAGGCCTTTCCTGGGAAGCCAGGGGAGTGTTCCCCTCAGGAGTTTTTGGGAGGTGAGAATATCCCCAGGGAGGGAGGCAGCTCTGGCACTGACCATATGCTGGGACACAGGAAGAGCAACACCCCCAGGTTTGTAGCAGAAAACGAACACGATTTCTATTTATTCCTTGGTGGTTCTGCACCCCCACTGGACAGGGCACGGTGCTCGCTGGGCAGCACAAGAGCTGATCCACCAAAGCCACACAAAGGTGGAGAGATGCTCCAGCTTTTTCCAGCTCTCCCATAACTCTTGCTCTGTTCCTCCCCTGTCTCCCAGCAATGCTCCAACTGCACCTTTCTGTCTTCCAGCTGCTGAACGCCTGTGCTGGCAGAAGAGGCTGAAATGCCACCCAAAAGGTGACAGAGACACTGCTCCAGTGAGGATTTGCCCGCTTGGACACAGCGATGCTTCTCCCGGTGTGGATCCCTCCTGCCCATCCTGCAGGTGACCCCAGCGAGCCCTGAGCAGGAGCATGAGCAGGGCTGGAGGGCAGGACTGGAATTAACCCCTCCCGTGCCAAAACTCCCCGTGATGAGCCGGTGACCGGAGCCTCCCCCACGGATCCCAGGGCTGGACTGTTCCCTTCGGATCCTGAGGCCCCCCTGGCTGCAGGACAGGCGGGATGGACGTGTTATGATGCTGAGCACGGAGCTGGAGCACAACCATGAGCAACAGCTCCAACTGCAGCGAGACAGACCTCAAGCCCTACTACGCCATCACCTACACGGTGATCCTGATCCCCGGGCTCATCGGGAACACCCTGGCCTTGTGGGTCTTCTATGGCTACATGAAAGAGACTAAAAGGGCCGTGATATTTATGATCAATTTAGCCATTGCTGACTTATCACAGGTGCTGTCCTTGCCCCTGAGGATTTTTTACTACCTGACGGGCACGTGGGAGTTCGGAGGAGGTCTCTGCATGTTCTGCTTCTACCTGAAGTACGTCAATATGTACGCCAGCATCTACTTCTTGGTGTGCATCAGCGTGAGGAGGTACCTGTTCCTCATGCACCCCTTCAAATTCAGTGACTGCAGACGTGTCTGTGATGTCTACATCAGCATCGTGGGCTGGGTTGTGGTCTGCGTGGGCTGCCTGCCCTTCCCGCTCCTCAGGATGCAGCACCAGGAGGATAAAACCTCCTGTTTTGTGGATCTTCCCATCAAGAAACTCGACCTCCCCACCTCCATCATGCTGATGACCATAGGGGAGTTGGTGGGGTTCGTGACCCCCCTGCTCATCATCCTGTACTGCTCCTGGAAGACAATCTTATCACTAAAAGAGAGGCACTCTGCTTCCCGGGACCTGGGCGAGAAGAAGAAGGCTTTAAAGATGATCCTCACCTGCGCCCTGGTGTTCCTGATTTGCTTTGCACCTTATCACATCAGTTTCCCTCTGGATTTCTTTGTGAAAACGGGGCAGATCCGGGAGGGCTGCGTGCAGATCTCGGTGTTCCACGCCGTGGCTTTGTGCCTCGCCAGCCTCAACTCCTGCGTGGATCCCATCATCTACTACTTCACCACAGACGAGTTCAGGAGACGCCTCTCCAGGCAGGATCTGCAGGACAGCATCCAGCTCCAGCCCCTCAGCTACTGCAGGAAGCACTCCAGGGATGTGCTTGGGGAGGACACCATGGAATACTAGAGCTGCCCTTCCCCAGCAGCAGCCAGCACTTCCACTATTCATCAAATTTTGGCCTTTGCCAGAATTTTTTCCCTCAGGACACTGAGAACAAGTCAAACTTCTGCTTTCAGTGAGGGTTGGAATAAACAAACAACCTCCCTCACAAAAAAAACCCCAAAAAAACCCAAAACCTGACCAAAAATGTGTTGATTTAATACTTCAGGTGCAAGTTTTCACTGAATAGAAATAGGAGCATTTCCATTCCTCAGCTGGGCAGCAGGAGGTCACGGACCCATGGGAGAGGTGACACCATGTCCCACTGTCACCTGTGGCATCACCCAGCCACATCCTGGTCAGCAAGAAACAGCAAAAGATTCTGGGGTCCTGCTGTGCAGAAAGAATTTGATCCTAAAAACCCCTGGATGCCACAATACTCTCTGTTTCTGAAGCACAAGACAATTCAGCAGAGACTGATTCTCCAGAGAGTGCCCAGAGCCCGCTCCAGCCACGCTGAGCATGGAGTGAGCAGCAGAAGGTGGCCCCAAAGGACTTCCCATTTAAATAATTAATGAAGCCTCATTTGGGGGTGTAGCAAATGCCATCCCCAAATCACACAGCCAGTGAAGCTTCCACACACTATTTTTCTGCCATCAGTTCCCACTTCTGGGTGCAAAGACAAGGGCTAGAACCCCCTTGGGTTTGGAACCATGGGGTTGTGCTTGGAGGGTATTTATTCAAGCCAGGTGTCCATCAAGCCTTTCAGGTTGTCTTTTCAGCAAAAATGGGGCAAATTATTTCCCTTTCACTGATAACTGACCCCCAGCCATCACATCCACTCCCCACTAACAGCAGCAGGATTCAAACAGAGGATCCAAACCTTTCCAAAGTTTGCTGTAATGAGAAAACCCTGGAAGCAAAGTCAAAGTACCATGAGAGATTTTTAAGAAAGGCTCAAAGGTGGATGTTGTTTTAATGATATTTGCTTTATATTCAAACCACAGAGACTTCAGGCTTGACTTTGGTATTTCATTTGCACCTTCTTGTAAAATGTTATTTTTCTGTGAACAATGCAAACGTTACAATAGAAGCATTTTGGAAGTGTAAAATACTTTGACAGTATCATTTTTTATTTATGCAAATGTTTTATAATTTATATAAGGGAAATGCACGTTGTAGGAAAATGATGTGAAGCACAGAAGAGTGTCAGAACACAAGAAGTTTGTTTTCTTTTCAAAAACTTTTTCATATAATAAAACTCCACCACCTCTTCCCTACAGGAATCTGAGCCAGTGCCTGATGGCTGAGCAAGCACTGATAATTCATGGAAACCACATTCATAGTGACAAAAAAATATTTATTTTTATATTTCCTGTTGTATATAATAAAATAATAATTTCTAAAAATGTTTTTTAAATGCGATTCTTGTCTCCTTCTCCCCCTGGCATCACCAACACACATGAACATGTGGCAGCACCTGGATTTGATGCTCTCTTGAATACCTGCAGAACATTCTAGATGCTTCTCCAAAATTATTTGACTCTTCTTGTTGCACTGGGGAGAAAAGTCAAGGGCCAGGTTTCCCAGGATAACGGGAATTCCTCCAGCTGCAGGAATCCAGCCCATCCTGCCCTTTCTGGCCACCATGGGAGGGGACCAGGGTGGCCCTGTCCAACCCCCCCAAAGTCACTTTTAGCTCCTGAGGGGGAAAAAATGTTACATAAAGCCGTGTCAGAAGTTCAGAAATTGTTCAGCGACAGAACCTCAAGCAGCTGAAGTTTTCCACCCAGAAAATCCCGTGGGTGCAGCAGCCCCTTCCCCCTGCCACTTATTCAAATGAGTGTTAATTATCTCTTTCCACAGGAAGCTGCTGCAATGGTCGGGGTTGGTGGCAGGAGATGAATTCAGGGGACTCCTCCCTGCCCTCCCCAGGGCACCTCTGCTCCTGGTGGCATCTGCTGGGGCCACACTGAGGTCTCACAACCCCTGGGGATGCTGCCACCAACAACTGCAGAATGAAGATGTCTCTTAGATTGGCAGGAGGTGGATTTTCATGCCGTGGGTATTTTTGCCATGCCCCTGTATTTTTAGTGTCTCAAGATCCACGAGCTGGACTCAATGATCCTTTGGAGTCCCTTCCAACTCAGAATATTCTGTGACTCTGAAATAATCTGGTCTGCAGCACTGGAATGGGAATCTGAATGAGAATGTAACTGAGAACCAAAGCACCCAAACCCCAAAATATCCCCTTTGTTCTGCAGGAAGGGTTTCCTCTGGTTGTTATCACTGAGCAGCAAAGCACTGAGCTCTCAGCCCGTGTCCTCCCCAGGCTGGCTCTGGGCTGAAGTGACAGGTGGTTTTTGGGCACAGAACCAGCTTTAATCCCTGCTGGGCCAACACAAAGCCATGGTAGCAAGAGTGCAGCCTCAGGGGTGGTTTGAGGGATGCCTGGGGAGCTTGAGCTGCTCAGAATGAGCAGTGAGTGTTTTGGGAGCCTTACTCACGCAGGGCACGAGGTGGCTGAGGGTGCAGGGTCAGGGGAAGCAGAGTTCTGGGTCTGCTCCAACCCTGCCCTGCTTCCATCACCTCCCCCGTGCTCCCTGCCCAGCAGCAGCTGCACAACCTCTCATAACCCTCGGGCACCGCCTCTCCCTGCCCTGGCACCCCGAGAAGAGACCCAGCAGCTTCCTTGGGGATTTTTCTGTGCATGCTGAGACTCAGAGCTGCCCTCGCATGTGACAGCTGGCACAGCAGTGGGAGCACAGCAGTGGGAGCACAGCCCCCCTTCCCTTCCCTTCCCTTCCCTTCCCTTCCCTTCCCTTCCCTTCCCTTCCCTTCCCTTCCCTTCCCTTCCCTTCCCTTCCCTTCCCTTCCCTTCCCTTCCCTTCCCTTCCCTTCCCTTCCCTTCCCTTCCCTTCCCTTCCCTTCCCTTCCCTTCCCTTCCCTTCCCTTCCCTTCCCTTCCCTTCCCTTCCCTTCCCGATGGGATCAGAGCCCACCCCCCTGCCTGGCCACCAGCCTGGACCCCCAACAACCCCTGAGGTCTGCTCTGCTGAATTCCCTGCTTTGGCTCCATGTCATTGCTGCCTTGACCATGGAATCCCAGAGATCTCCTTTTGCCATGAAAAGGGCTGATTTACAGCTTCTCCTACCACAGCAGAATTTTTATCCTCTCATACATCTTTTCTTTTACCAGCACTGTTTTATTTGCTGTTTTGTCACATGGTTGCTCAACATCCTGAGCAGAGTCCCCGTTTCTCTGTAACTTGTTAGATTTTCCTGCTATGGTTAAGGCAGCTTTGACACATTTTACTGCACTTTTTACTTCCTTTTTCACTTTGCTGTTAAAAATGAACCTTGGCCCCAGCAAGTGGGGTAAATGCACACACAGAGCACCCCTGGCACTGCTGGACTCTGTTCCTCAGACCTCAGTAACTAAAAACAATCTCCAGAGAGTGAACCAAATACGAGCCCACCCCATCCAACACAAAAATAAAAAGCTAAAATCTTGTCAGAGATGTTTTGATAAATATCATGACCAAAAATAAGCAGGATCCATCAGGGCAGTGCCTGGTTCATGCTGCCAGTTAAGTCAGGGCAGAGGAACTGCAGCCTTTGGGGTGACAAACTCTGAGAATTTAACTTACACCATCTACAGCTGTGGCCAAATATCTCATTTAGAAAAAAAGATTTGGTTATGTAAAACCATGAGAACAAAATTATAGAGAAAAAATATAGTAATGTCATTACCTCAGAGGGGAAGACCTGGTTCTGGTTCCTGCTTCCAGCTCTGTTCTTGTCCCTTAGGTCACACCAGCCCTGTCAGGGCCAGTGTTTGTTCTGGGCTACCCAGAGGTGCCACCATGAGGTTAAAGGGAGGGGGAGAAGGAGCTCCTTGGAGGTCAGGTCACCACGAGGCTGAGCTCAAATCATCAAGATAATAATTTTCTACACCGTTTTGCTCAAGTTTCCTTCTACTCCCATTTTTCCTCCCCGAATTCAGGGAAGAGAATGAAAAGTCCAAATAACCAACAAAGGCAGGATGAACACAATGATGTGACTGAGTGCCATAAGGAATTGTGAGAATGAACCTTAAGAATGACTCTCTTAACTCATCTCCCATTTTCCCAGGGGCCCAACAGAGCTGTGAAAAGGGAATAACTTGGTGAGGCTCCAGCTCGTGGAAGGTCATGGCTTTTACCACCCACAATGTCCAGCTTTGCCTCCCCACTTGCACTCCCACAAGTCCCAAGAGAAAAAACTTATTTTAAAGGATTTAACCCAGCCAAGTTCTTGTTTTGGCTGACTCCTCTCCCTCATGTGCCACCAGATCACCAGTCCTGTGACCAGTGCCATTATCTGGGACAAAGCACAGCCACAGGACATTGGATATTTAAGGGCAGGGTAACTCCCTGTGGTCACACAAACATCTGCACAGCTCCAGAGAAAGTTCCCAGGAGACCTGAGTGTAACAGAAGCTGAAACTCAGCTGTAAGGTTCTGTTTGAATGAGAAGTTTCTTAATTAAGTAAATCAACACAAACCATCAAAGCCCACAGCCCAGCCTGTTCCTGCTGCTTAACAGCCTAAAAATCTTAAAGCAGCACCATCCTAAATCCAAAAAGAACAGCAGCACTGCCCACATTGGTGTCATGCTGTTCTTTGAGGTCCTTCACCCAAAATTTCTCCCTCTGGGCCTGTCTGCCCCAGCCCAGTCTCTAATGGGACTTCAAATCCCTGGTGAGATCTGGTTCAAATCATTACTGTGCTCAGCTCTGCAGACAGGACACATCTTGCCTTCAAGCACAAGAGGGTTTTGGTTGGTTTTTCAAAGAAAATAGAAATGAAAACACAAAAAACCAAGAAAATCAAATTATAGGGAGAAAGCAGAATTAAGGGTTTTGTGAAAGAAGCCATCAGCTCCACTGAGAAAAAACAAATATTGGGATATATGGGTCTGCAAAAGGATAAATGCACATTATCTAATATATCTGCAAATGGGATATTTATTGAAGAAACACAAAGTGTTTCTGGTCTAGGCACCTGGTGTAGTGGGAGGTGAACTGGCAGGGGGTTGGAACTCAATGGGCTTTAAGGTTCCTTCCAACCCAAACCATTCTGGGATTCTAAAATCTATGAAGATCTGCAGCTCACTTTTTCCTCAGACAGCCACAAAT